AGTTTCAACCACTTATAAAATATCACTTCAGAACTCATTGAAAATCTTTTTATTTTTATTTTATTGATATTTTTGGTATTTATTTCTTAATTCTCTAGTTCTTAGGAGTGGATTTCAAAATTATTGAAACTAAGAAATTTGCAAAAAATGGAGTAATGTGCTTTGGCTTATAACATATCCATATGAGCAACAATAATTGTTTTGATTCGTTTTTAAACTGCCCTTTTGTTATCTTGTTTGTATTAACAATATCTGGAAACATTTTCCAGAAAAAAAGTCAACAGTATTTAAGTTGTTATCTAAAAACTATGTTGAGTAACATGAACTTTTCATATTTTAGACGTATTGTTATTTCGGATGCGTACTTAAAAATCAAATTTTAAAGTTAAAAGTTAAGATTTTGAAAAATTAATATTAATATTAAAGAAGACATTAATCTGAAAAAACTAATATCATTTTTATAGTAATATCTATTTATAGTATAATAGTAATAAATTTTTCAACAAAAATAAGAGACCACGTAAATGCAACCACGCTGCAGTAAATGTGACCACGCTGCAGTAAATTTGTTTTATAGTATATTTTATAAGCACTCTTTCAAAAAAAAAGTTTCAAAAAGTTTTAAAAATTAAATTTTTTCCAATCTTAACCGTTTAGCTAAATTATTATAAACGAAAATGTTAAAATTTTGGTAAATTCGGATTATATTGAAATATTTAAGTATATTTAAATATATATTTATTTATATATTTAAGTATATTTAAATATATATTTATTGATATATTTTCTGTTTATCTGTGAACATTAAATCTTGCAATCACTTTCTGATGAAAGATTTACTTCAAATTTTGCATGCATACTTTTGCTTAATGACAAAACTATATTCAATAATTAGTTTTGCAACAGGTCACTTAATTTAGCTAATTTTTATTAAGTTTAACTTTTATATGGAAAAAAAAAATTTTAATAAGTATATTGTTTATTTTTGACTCATACGGGAAAAAAGCTATTTTGGATGAGACGTTGACTTGGCGAAGGGAATGGCTGTGGTTCAAGAATTGCCTGCTTTTGTTTTTTTACACATGCATATAGCCAAATGTTAATAAAAGAAAACAGTAATATCAAAGAAATCGATTGCAAAATTTGTGTTTTAATATCGTATAAAGGCATGGGTTTTTTTATATTACTTGAATAACGAGGGTATATATAACCCCTAGAAACAGTGGCGTACCTACGGGGGAGGGGCAGGGGCTCACCGCCCCGGGTGTCATCCACTTTTGGTTGACACCTAATTTATTAATATCTTATATTTTATTTTGGCTTATAATTAAACAGCCTTACATAAAAAAATAAGTGGGTATTTATTTACACGACCTACGAAATGCTGAATGCTGAAAGATATAGCTATCATTATTTAGAAAATATAATCGCTTAGCTTTCTTTCTTTCAGTAGGTTTGCTATTTTTTTAATATTCTTTACTATCAAATCCAGGTACTAGAGTTTTTTTAAGCATATAAAAAAAAAAGAAGCTGATTTTAGACGATTTTAGATGATAATAATTTATTATCGTCTAAAATTATTTGGCAACAATTTATTTTCAAATAATTATTGTCATCGTTATAGATGAGAATTATTTATAGAGAGTTATAGACACTAAATTATTATTGTCGAAAACAAGGTTTAAAATCACATGTGTCAACGTTTCTAAATACTGCTTTAATAATTTCGTATATAAAAATAATTACATATAATATATGGGTGACACCCTATTGCCGCCCCGGGTGACACCATAACTAGGAACGCCACTGCCTAGAAATATTGTATTTTATTATAAAGAACTATATAAGGATAAGTTTACATAATATCACAGATGTTTTAACTTAATTAACTAATTTTACAAAAATAAGATTAAAAGATTTTTTGAGATAACCCCATTTTGTTTTTAAAATAAAGAATAAAACTTAAGTAAACAAAATTTATCGAAATTTAAAGCACCGAGCTCACATAGAAGTGATTTGCATGTAATGTTTGTTCTGCACTAAAGGCTATTCTGTTGTCTTTCTTAAGTTCTTTTAACTAGAACTAGGCCACACAATACTAGAATAAGGAATAAAGGTAAAATAGAGTTATTTCAGTGATGTTATATTTAGAAATAGAGTTTTGTTTCGATGTTATTTATACGTGTTATACTTTTTATCTAGTTTTACTCCTAAAACGTTTACGTAAGCTTTCCTTTTAATAAAAGTTGTATTAATTTCAATATTTATTTTATTAAGTGGTATATTTTTAATTTACTTATTTTATAGAAAAGTATAAAGTTTTGTCCTTATTTAGTGAATATTTGTTACTTCGGAACCACTCGTGACCGTTTGTTAAGTATTTTAAAAAGCGTTTTTAAAATTTCTGTGAGAATAAAAAAGATTGGAATCATCAGCAAACGAAATTAGGCCTAAAAGATTCATTGCTAAGTATAAATCGTTTATGCACAATCGAGATAAAAGCGGTTCTTAAAAAGAGCTTTGTCAAATCCCACATAATATGGAGTATGGAATTGTATTATTTTGATATTTAAATATTGCTTTCTGTTTTTCAGATATTTTGAGCCAATGTAAGTTTTTATTTTTGCTCCGTATTTTTTAAGTTTTTTTTATTAGAATATTGTCATTCACGATGTCAAAACTTCTTCTCAGATCAATGAAAACTCCTAATGTAAAGCAGCCATTATCAAAAGCGTTCGATATTTGATTGGAAAGTTTAACTACTGTGTGCTCAGTAAAAATTTTTTTTAAAAAAAGTAAAATTAGTTGCAATATAGCATGTCTCTCAGTTAGACGATGATGTTTTCTATTATACATTATTCTGTAGCAATTTTGAAAAAGAAGGTAGATATAACTTAAGCAATAACTTTAAATCATGAACATCTTGATTTTCAAACACAACACTGAAACATACAATTTAAAATAGCATAGGAAACGTTTTTAATTAAAAGCAAATCGTGCTAAATGATTCAGACAAAAAATAAACAAACCAATAAGAAATAAAAATGCAGAGTTTGAAAAGGCTCTGTGGGTTTTCATTTATATATAGTATAAAAGAGTATCAAATCTGCAGCAATAACAAAAAATTAGTATTAAACGCATGTTTTGATTGCCTCGAAATCTTATCAAAAATGCGTTTGAAAAATTAAAAGCTTGATCGGAAATTTTGGTAGTTCATCATACGCTATAACTTCATGTAATTCTTAAGGTGATTTGGTAGTGTTAATGAGGAAGTTTAACAAATTTAAATGACAAAGAAAATAATGGAAACGAACCGAAACCAGTATATACTGGCAATATAACATAGGAAAAAAAAAAGCCTACATCTTAAAATTCAGAATGTTTTACAAACTATTACGCTGACATAAAAAAAGTTATGATGGCAAAAATTTCAAACATATATTTTATTGTCTAAAGTTCTAAAAAATGTTTTAGCACTTTACTAGCTAATATTGTTATTAAATGTATATGTTTTAACAAGTAAGTTTTCTTTTCATTTTAAAGTTTTGTAACTTTGATTCAAAAAATAAAGAAATATTTTTCTTTTTTATATCAACTTTTGTATAGTTTTACCAGAAATGCATCTATTAAATCCACAAAAACATTTTTTTTTTCTAAATTGAAAACATGCTATAAAATATCGCTAGCTCATTGTTGCTCCAGATTTGTTGCTGCTCCAAGTTTATTGTTGGTACAGGTTTTTTGTTGCCCTAAGATTTTTGTTGCTCCATGTTTGATGTTCCCCCATGTTTAATTTTGTTCCAGGTCTGTTGTTGCTCCAGGTTTAATGTTGTTCCCGGTTAATTACTCTTTTAAACAAAAGAGAGTCAGAGGGTAGACTGTATTACCTATAACATATGTTCCAAAGCTTTTATATCCGTGCAATAATAGTTGAATATATCTTGGTGACGTAGTTTTCTGTTATTATAAAATATTTTGATTACATGAACATCATCATGCCCAACTAATGTTTATAGATGTAACCACAAATGTTCTGTTCAAATTACATATTGCTTGAACATTTAAGAAACAATATTTTTGTAAAGAAAATAGCTCTGTTAGTTTTAAAAAAAACACGACATGAAAACAAAAACATTTGTTTAAAACCTTAGATTTAATTATTTTACAAATTAAATATATTGTTTAGTAGTGTTTTAGTAGGCCACCCTGTCGGCATTTATTCCTAAAAAGACGTAATTTGAATGATCAAAATCTTTTTAGGAAGGCTAGACAGAACTCCACAAATGAGGAGTGAGTTGTAATTTTTATTTATGATAGCAAACTTTACTCTTGTTTTGTTCCCAGGCTTTATTTATGATAGCAAATTTCACTCTTTTATTTTGTTTCCAGGCTTTACTTATGATAGCAAATTTTACTCTTGTTTTGTTCCCAGGCTTTAATCACTGTAACTTTTTTTTATAATTTGAAAGAATTAAAACGACTTTTGTAAAGTAAAAGTTGTTATTATGAAAAATGTACTCCATGTTATATAGAATTAGATATATTTTTGGAAGAAAAACAGATAAAAGTTATCTACGACACAAAAAAATTTTGATTTGTAAACGGATTTAAATTATTAAAAATACTTAGTTAATTGATTAAGAAAAATTGTTTTTTATGTATTAGTTATTATTTGCAAACCTTTTTTGTTTTTATATAAAACCTACTAAAACATGAGTTTTGCAAACGTCGGTTGAGTTTGCAAACTTTTGGGTTAGATTTAAATAAAACTAAGTAATGTCAATATTTATAATAGATATATCTAGACAAACAAATGTTGATACTGATTGACACTTCTAATATTTGTGTTAGCTTTAAAAGAAAGTTTTTTATAAAAAAAAAATTAATTTTAAAATATAAGTAAATAAATAAAACAAAACAACAACTTTTGTGTATCAAATAGTACATTTATATTTAAACTTTTGTTACATAGAAAATTTGTTATACAATATTATACTTACAAGTAATTCTACTCAAGCCACTTGAAAAAATAAACAACTTTATATGTGTTTAACAACAGTGTATGTGTTTATTTAAATTGTAGTGATTACTGCTAAAATTTGCTTAAATTGCAAAATAAATGTTTTGAGAAAATCTATTTTGATCAGATATAAAACTTTTTTTAAGATACTATCAGAAACAGCTGATTAAAATTAATTTTCTCAAAACTGTTTTTTGTGAATTAAGTGATTAAGCACTAAGCCCTTCAATTTGGCAGTTTTTCATTAGTGATCTAAAATAATTTATTTCTAACGTTATTTATGATTAACGAAAAAATGGTAATAAAGAAAACCTCATTATTGTAATTTGTAATTTTTTTCTTCCTATCTAATTAGATTAAAATAAAAATAACGAAATTTTTTATTTATAGGTAGAAATAAAATAAATTTTTTTAAAAAGGAGTACGAAATATACTTTAGCAATTATACTTTTACAGCATAAGTTCGTATCTAAAATTTAAATTTGTAGCCTCTTAATTTAAAATAGTTGTTTATTAATTTTTATTTAAATAATTTAAATACGATTTTTAAATACAATAATTAATTTTTTTTAGAGTTTAAAGGACAAATATATGGAGCGGAGCTTTTAAACCATGCTGACTAGTTGAAGGCTTTCATATTTGTAATTTTTTTTGAAGTAATTTTCTAATTAAGAGCATGTTGGTATTATCAATAAAAATATAAAGATTAAAATTTTCAAGTGAAACGTTTAGCAGCCGTATTCACATCTCTCCGTTAAGCTTAACGGAGCTTTTGTCTGAAATTTCATTACAATATTTTTAAGTAAAGAATTGACAAAAACTTTATTTAAGTTTGTTAAAATAAAATTAATACTAAAACTATACTTTTTTTTTTTAAATACATATTTAAATATTTTTTTTGTTAATGTAATTAAAATTTTTTATTTTGACTAACACTCCTATAAGTTTAACGGAGATAAGAGAATACGATCTACGCAGTTAAGGTTATAAATAACAATTTATTGGTTTTCCTCCTAACTTTGACCTTGGGATAAAAATAGAGAAAACTTGTTTCTTTTATGTCGTTTTGTTGAAGTTTTTTTTTAATTGTTCTGTGCATTATCTGCGCTATCTAATTCTATTAACTAATATATATATATATATATATATATATATATATATATATATATATATATATATATATATATATATATATATATATATATAATTATTTTTTTAATTCTAATATAAAATTTCTTTTTATAAGTCCTAAAGTCTAATATAAAGCAACTTGATAATGGATTACAATTCTTTCCTCATATAAAAAATAAAAGAAATATCTTTAATCAAAATATACAAAGTATTATAAAGGATAAAAAAAAGATATTTACTTTTTAAACCATAACGTATTGGAATGTGTTTTTCATAAAAACAAGATAAACGTTTATAATAACGCTTATAAAATTAAATTAACGTTTATATTATAAAATAAACGTTTTTGGAGCATATAGTGACAAATACAGTAAAAAGATAAGGTTTTGCATAATGATCGATATAGAGAGAATAGCTTTTTTGAGCAGCGACAATAGTAGCATTTATAGAAAAGAAGAAGAGATGCAACTTTACAACATCAGGTGAGAGACTCAAACTTGGCAGATAGAGCTAGTTCTACTACATTTGTAATGGGTTTTTGGACCTTGTTTAAAAATGAAAAAGAATCTTTAGAAAAACCAGCTCAAATACGATAACATTGTTCTATACAGGGGCTAATAAGAGACTTAAATACAAGCAACATTACAAGATGCTAACTTAGCAACCAATATGGTTTCCATAAAAGATCAGTAGTGAACAATAATCCAAGAAGATTAAAAGAAAAGGACTCAGGGTGAAGGTAGCCATTCATCAATATAGGAATGCAAGCAGTATTGAAATAGTTGCTTGCAGTAAATAACTGAGCTTTGTTGGAGTTAAAATTTATAAACCACTGCAAGCTCAAGTTACAGCTTTAAGATCAGGTTCAAGATTGGCTACTTATTCTAAGCGATTGAACTGAGAAGACTTTTTTTTAAGATAAGAGTATATTAGTTGAGTCATCCGCAATTAGAGCCGCAGTAAGACTGCTGTAAGATTGCTGTAAGATTGCTGTAAGATTGCTGTAAGATTGCTGTAAGATTTTGAGGAAGATCAATCATTTATATTAGAAACAAAACATTACCATAGCAACCTATACACTTTACAATTACAATTAATGATACATAATGAAAAACATTATCATAAATAGAATCTTGTGATTCCCCAGAAAACTACTGGAAACAGAGAAGAGTTTTTGTCTTGGAGAATGATTTTAAATTGAGGTACCCCAGAAGTTACTGGTAATAAAGAAAAGTGTTTGAGGATAAAGCGGTTAGAAAGAAATGATTTGATAATCTCAAACACGATTATTTATACACTTTATAGAGCAAGTTTATAAACAAGACCAGCAAGTTAAACTTTATCTAAAGTTTTAGATATATCAGGAGCAATAACCCTAGCCTCGCCGCCTTCATCAAATGCCTAATAAATTTGTTTAACCACAGCGGTTCAGCTGTTGAGCAAAATGGTCGAAAACCGTATTGATAGTCTGTCAGTAAAGTTATTTGACTAATATAATGAGATGTTATAAACATGTTGATTAAAGATTCAAAGACCTTGCTTCTAACAGATAAAAGAATGTTCAGACGATTGTTGAAAAGGTCTTAATATTTATCAAATTTTTTTTTAAATTGAAACTACAGATGCCATTTTCCAGCAGGCAGGAATACAAGATTCAGTCAAGCACTTATAAAATAATTTAGAGTGAAAAAAAAAAAAAAAGGTTTCGATAAAAACTTTTGTAATGTCAGGACTGAAGAATTTAATAAACTTTAGCAACAAAAGGTGGAGTGATTTGAAAAATGGGGGAAACCTGTTTAACTAGTGTGGAAGGAAGAATATATCTATAAGATTCAAGAGTCGAATTAGAAGAAAATTTCTTGGCAAATAATTTTGTTTTTCCTTTGAGCGAAGTAATATAATAAGTCCCATCAACAAGAGAAGGAGTGTTAGACCTACCTTTGATAAAGACAATAATAGAAATTTTTCAAAATTCTCTTGAGCCTAATTTCTAAGATAAGATACAAGATGTTAGATTTAGTAAAAGAAGGAATAAATAAGCGTTTGTTCACAAGAGTTGTTTATTTAAAAAAAGATGAAAATAACGATTACAATAAGATATAGCAGTTACACGAGAAGGTGAAAACCATGAAGTAGAATGAGGCTTGACATGCAACCAACAAGAAGAAATAATTCTGCAAGACTGTGACAGGAAGGTTGTCTGGACCACAAGCTGTAGACGAGTTTAATTGAGATATGACTTTAGCAACAGATTTAGCCGGAGTGATTTGAATGTCTAACAATGGGTCAACCTGTTTGACTGGAATGGAAGGAAGAGATTGTCCATAAGATTCAAGAGTGGAATTAGAAGAAAAGTTCTTTGCAAATAGTTCTGCCTTATCCTTGGGAGAGGTAATAAGATCAGTCCCATGAGTGAGAGATGGAATGTTAGGTCTACCCTTGTTAACAATGCTGTTGAAGATTTTCCAAAAGTCTTTAGAGCCTAGCTTCTGCGATAAGATGCGAGATTTAGTGAACTGAGAATAATGGAGTTTAGCATCAGAAAGCACCTTTTTACATCGATTTCTTGCAATAATAAATAGCAGTTTCTTCTCAAGAGAGTTATTCTTTTGAAAAAGATGAAAAAAATGATTACGATTGGATATAGCAGCCGCACAAGAAGGAGAAAACCATGGAGTAGACTTGAAACCGACGCGAAAGAATAAAAGCTTCCATTCCAGCCTGAATCCAGGAGGTTATGTAGGAGGCGCATTTTTCAGCTGAGAGAGAAAAAACATCAGCCCAAGGACCATCACGAAGAAATTCACGAAAGGAATCCCAGTCAGCTTTAGGGTAGTAGTAGGTGGTGCGATGATAAGGTGAGCCCAAAAAAGAATACGAGAAGAAAGATTTATAGAGATCATTGCATGGTCAGAACCACCTAAGGGAGAAAAGGGAGAAAGTGAACATAAGCTAGGGTCAGAGACAAGACATAAGTCAAGGAGTGAAGGTAAATGATTAGGGTTGTCAGGAAAACGAGTCACAAAGTTAACTATCTGAGTAAGAGATTGAGAAACGCAGAAGTTAAAGGCTTTAGTGCCAGCAAGATCAGTGGTGTTAGAGCCAAGCCATTCAGTGTGATGGGCATTAAAATCACCAACAACAACAATATTGGCAGAGGGGTAAAGAGAGAGGGCATGGTCAATTTGATCAGAGATAACATCTAAGAGAGTGCAATCATGGGAAGAAGGAGAACGATAAAGAACAAAGAGAAAGGTGATAGAGTGAAGAGGTGCTAGGCGAAAGCACATAAAAGAATGGTCAAAGAATTCGAACCTGATTTCACGACAAATAGGGGAATCAATGCGTATGTTTACCCCTAAACCTAGCATTTGACTATTTGAGTCTTTACGAATCAAAAGATAGTACCTATCAACACTGACATCTGAAGAAGGAATTGCAGAATTTATATTTGTTTCACTGAGTGCAAGCAAGACTGGTGAATTTTGAAGGGGGTAAGACTCAACTGATGGAAAGTTGCTTCGTAGACCGCAAATATTTGTAAAAGATATATTAAAATATTTAGGTGGTGGGGATGGTTTTTGAGGTTTTAAATTTTTGGTTACTTTGGTCATGATTTGGGTTTAATGAGAACTTGACTCATTCATAGATAGAGCGCAGCCTCCTAATCAATGAGCTATGCAGTTGTCTCAGTCCTGTTAATTAACCCTAAGCCGTGACATAGGGCTCCTTATGTGGCCTTGACAATGCACACCAAAAGCATTAACAGGGACACCATCCATGCGCAACATGGCACTGTTAATACTCTGATATTTTGCAGCTGTTGATGGAATCAGCATCTCTGAGAGCTATTACAGAGTTCGGGAAACCTTACTACCAGCCGGACTCAGAACCATTAAACTGAGTTTTAGAGCTGTACCCTCATATGGAGATAACAGGAAGAGTTGCATAGCCATTATCAAGGAGGCATAAGCAAAATTCTATGAGTAGAGTCAAGGAGATCCAGCATTCATCATCCTAGGCAGGAAACAATGTAACACAGGTTACATCTACGCCAGCCTAATAGATGAAGAAGGGGTTTGAGGCTGGTTAGCAGAATTTTTCTGCTTACCCTTAAAGTCTTTGCCTAGGAGGCCTTCTACAAGACAGTAGCTGGATGCAGTTAACATCTGCCCAAGATGAGTATTTTTATCGAGACACCATCTCTAGCCTTTACTCAACCAAGAGCCCCAAGGCAGGGGATGTTTAGCTGGATGCAGTTAACATCTGCCCAAGATGAGTGTTTTTATCGAGACACCATCTCTAGCTTTTACTCAACCAAGAGCCCCAAAGCAGGGTAATTTTTAGTCGGAGTTTATTTCTCCTAGCCTTTGCCTATGAAGAGCACACTCTGCAAGGCAGCAGGGCTTGTGGCAGGTAATACTGGGTTACGTGATACCAGTAGCAAGATTGGTCCCGATTATCCTGACCTGACCTTTGATAGTTTAAAAGGAGTTACTTCCCGCAACAGTACTTTGGGAAAACCAGGCATGATATTTTGGAAGTGCATTAGGAAAACACTGCATCTAACAAAATACAGGAGTCTAAGGTGAGTGTAGGTTTTGTAGTTGGAGTAAGTAGTTAGTTACTGAGCTCAGGCTGCATTAGAGTATAAACAGAACACAAAAAAACATAAATCAACTTACGGGTGAGTCAACACCGCGCCAGAGGTTCAGACAGAACACAAACATACATAAAAAACATAAAGTAACTTACGGGTGAGCGAACACCGCGCCAGAGGTTCAGACAGAACACAAACATACATAAAAAAACATAAAAAACATAAACATAAACATAAAGTAACTTACGGGTGAGCGAACACCGCGCCAGAGGTTCAGACAGAACACAGACATACATAAAGAACATAAAGTAACTTACGGGTGAGCGAACACCGCGCCAGAGGTTCAGACAGAACACAAACATACATATAACGTAGATTACAATTTTAGTACAAGCCTTTTTTTTTTAATTTATAAAAATATTTTTCGCTTATTATTTTCTTTTAATACTAACAAAATTTATTTATCTCGTTTATTTGTTTATTCTATTTGTTTAAACTTTAATTCCAAAAATGAATATTGATATGAAATAAATATCGACTATGAAAATAGCATTTAATATTTTTTTAACGCGTTTGTTGAAAAATTTAACTAAAATTAAAAAAAATTGATTCTAAATAAATAATAAAAAGTTAAAATAAACTAAGTTTATAAATTTATTTATAAATTTAGTTGTGCAACTATGAATACTGGGAATTCATTTTATTTTATCAAAGTCTATTCGTACAAAAGAATATTTCGAAATTTCGAAATTTCAATGAAGTTTATTTTGATCGTAGATTTTCTTTGTCGCTAATTTAAAAAAACGAAAAAAAAAATTATACATTTCTTTTTTACCAGTTTTAATATATCTATTAAAGAATATGGATTATATGGAACTAAAATTGAGGGTATAACTTGTCTATAAATGATTATTTGCTTATTTAAAAACTACATTTTTTTTAATCAAGAAGTTAAGTTTTTTTGCTAGTTTTAAGAATTATGCCTCGAAATTAAGAAAGAAAACAACAAATTAACTAAAACAAAAAAATAATTAGTAACAAAAGTAAAAAGAGATATAATTTTAGATTATTTTATAAAATTACATGTTATTTTTATATATAAAAATAAAAATTAGAAACAATTGCAAGTTAAGCTTTTCAAGCTTTGAAACTCTAATAACTTTCATCACATTCGTACGATTTCCATTTTTAGATATTGAATTGCTTTACACAAAAGGTTTTGTAAACTTTTTAATTAATTTAATTTTGATTTATTCAAATAAAAATTATGGTATTGGATTCCGTCAATGTCTAAGATATCATATTTCCATTCGTAAGCTTAAAGTAAGGTGTTTTCAAGCTTACATTAATCACAAATTTACAAGACCCTCTAAATTTTTCAACAAGCAACATGTCTTTGTATAATTAGTAAAGTAAGTGTTTCAATACAGACGAAAATGCATTATATGCATTAAACACTTTATAGGGTGTGTCATACTGAGGTTAAAACTTAAAAAATGATAATTTCTATTGGCATTATTTAAAAAAGGGTAAGACCTTAGATTTTAAACTCTATCAAAAAAATTTAAATCTAAATGAGTTATAGCTACGAGGAAATTGCCTGGAAAATTGCATAAAAAGGTGATTATTTTCATATTTTCATATTTTCAGGGTCAATTTGAACTTTTTTAGACTTAAATCAACAACAAACTTATTTTATAAGTTTTGCAGCAAACTTATCTACAGAAATTAATACAAGATAAGCATTGACAGAATATATAAGAAGACATTGACAGAATATAAAAGAAAATGAGGAGAGGCTTTTTCCGAGTTTTATATGTAATAACTAATGGTAATTTTAATGCATTTGAAAATCACTTAAAAAATATATTATCAAAAGTCATTAAAAAGCACGTTTAATTAGGAGGTGATTTTAACATAGATATTCATAAAATAAATAATGATTTCTAAACTAAACGGTTGGTAAATACTTTACTTCAGAACAGCGTAATACCTATAATAAAGAAACCAACGTGAGTAACACACAATACGTCTTCAATTATTGATAATATTATTACTAACAACTACATGATCACAATTTCCTTATAATACAGTGAATCCGAAATTCCTAAAGAAACAATACTAATAAGCAAAAACAAAATGATTAAAAAAGTAAACAAAATTTTAAAAAGAAAAATGGAATATTCGATGGATTTAAAAATGGATTAATTTTCAAATCTAACAGATTTTGAAGATATGCAATATTGATGGTATGCATTACAGAAGAGGCATTAAAGTCAAAGTACTCCTTTCTCAACTAAATTTTTACTTTAATTTTAGGCGTCCAATGTGACAAAAAACATTTTTTTAAACAAAGATTAGGAAGGATATTTTTTAAAACAAAGAAAAGAAGCAAAAGAATATACTTGTGTTCGGAGGAATTATATCTAAACAAACAATCTTTAAGTAATAATAGTAATAATTTAAGGCCTCGTATAATACGTGATAAGAGCAGGGCCGTCCCGAAGAGGTCTTTCATGGAAGAGGGGGGATATCTGTATTTTTTTGCCAACTAGAAACACACACACAAAAAAAGAGGTCCTCAATATTTGCAATTTTCTAACTATAGTTTAAAACTTGCTCAATATGCCAAATCAAATGCTTATATAACAGCTTTGGAGAGGTGGGACACCCCAACACCTTCCCACCTTCGGGACGGCCCTGGATAAGAAAGAAGAAGATTTTCTTAAAGTATCTTGGGAATGTGTGCAAGTGGTACAAATTGATTTATTAAACGCTAAGTTAACCACATACTAAGTATGATAACGAACTTGATGAAGTATGGTCATTTCCTTTATTTATTAATTTTGAAAAAGGTGATCTTATTCTTTTTAGCTAGGATTGTGAGGTAATTTTATTAAATAAAAATTTAGAAATATGTTGTAGCATGTATTTATCTTGTTTCTTTTATTATTATGTTTCAATTATTTGTTTTTATTGCATTTGAGTACAGTGGTTTTAATCTTTATAAATGGTATGAATCCTATCTAATATGTTTATATGTACTAATTTCGTTTAATTTAAAGGTTTTTTAAATAATATATATCAATATTTTTATCTCTATGCTTAACTGCACATTATTATAGATTACTCTTATTTTAGTGTAGTTTAACCGCTAGAGTCTAAACAACAGACTATATATATATATATATATATATATATATATATATATATATATATATATATATATATATATATATATATATATATATATATATATATATATATATATATATATATATATATATATATATATATATCCCCTTCGTACACTATGTGTACAAACGTACACAATTCATTTGGTTCATTTTTCACTATAAAACTTAAGCAAAGCAATAATTTAAACACGGTGTGTACATTTGTGCACACCAGTCCTATTTTAAATTTTAATAAAATTTTTCATTCCTCATAAGGAGGTCTAGTTCATTTGTTTTATAAGAAAAAAAAATTAAATACATTCTATGTGCCCGTGTGCAAACTATATATATATATATATATATATATATATATATATATATATATATATATATATATATATATATATATATATATATATATATATATATATATATATATATATATATATATATATATATATATATATATATATATATATATATATATACATATATATATATATATATATATATATATATATATATATATATATATATATATATATATATATATATATATATATATATATACTCTATAATTCTTATAATATCTTATAATACATGCAATAAATATAAAAAAATTAACTAAAAATAATAAATTAACTTTAAAATATAAGAACTTTAATGAAGACGTAAGAGTTAATTATTAATGAAACTATTTAGAAATGATCAAAACGCTATTTAACATAAAATCAAATGCTATTTAACATAATTAGTTGTTAATAAATTATTTAACAGACCTCACAATCGAACTATTTAATAGACTGCACAATTGTATTATTTAACAGACCGCACAACTGTATTATCAAAAGGTGACATATCTTGTTGCTCAGCAAAAAAATAGAAACCTTCAAAAACGCAACGCAATTGTATCAATTTTTTATAATGCTATTACTTAATAAGTTTTAAACTAATGGCTTTACATAATAAAATCATTTCATTCATTTAATTATTCTAACAGTTTATCCTGCTGATTCTATTCATTTTAAGCAATTTTTCCTGTTGATTCCAGTAAATATATGTCAAGCTTAGCAGCAAGTCATTTACGTCAGGACTATTCATCCCCAAGAGACCATTCATCTTCTTAAGTATATATATATATATAAGTATATATATATATATATATATATATATATATATAAAAGTTTTAACTCAATTATCTCTTAATAAAAAAAATATTTAACTTGGTACGCATCCGTTACAGGAAAAGAATTTTTAACAGTTTTTAGTCAAATTTAACAATGTTTAAAAATGTGGTGGCTGTTTTTGAAGTTAAAAGACTTTTCTTTATTATATTAGGCGTCTTCACAATAAATTGCTGTGAGTTTCATAACTTGTTATAAATAATTTCATTAACAACAAAATTGCAAGTAATTTTATTAATTATAAGGCAATGGTATGATGGTTACAGTATAATAAAATGTTTTATTAAGTTTTTTATTACGCGCAATGTACGATAAAAAAGACTCTAAAAACAGATACTGTATATAAAGTGTTGTAAATATTTTTCCCTGCAACACAATGAACGCAAACAAGTGACGGAGTTGTTCAGTTAGGTAGACTTGGGAGGGGTTATTCTTAATAAAGATAGTAGAGATCCGTAGAATAAGAATCCAAAACTTTACAGTATTATAAAATGTTTTATAAAGTTTTTAATTACGCACATTATACAATAATAATAGAAAAGACTCTAAAAACAGATCTGAATATAAAGTGTTGTAAATGTATTTTTTTTTTCTTCGAAACAAATATGACGGAGTCATTCAGTTAGGTAGACTAAAGATAGTAGAGATCCGTAGAGTAAGAATCCAAAAGTACAGATATTCAACAGAGTAAGGAGTCTCGTTTCATAGTTTGGTGAGGATGAAAAAAAGCGGAAAAAGAAGAAAGAATTAATGAGCGCTATGAGGATCTTACGTGACTATAATAAAGCGCTTGTAATAACGCATTCTGACTGGTCCCATCTAGCATTCGGTCTAAAAAAGAAGTCTTTTAGGCGTATTAAAAATTGTAATACGTTTAAAAGACGTAATAAAAACGTCTTTTTTAGACCAATTGTTACTTGGGGTGTAATGACCACGGGCATGTTTAAAATGTTTGCATGATAAAATGTTTTTATGATAAGAGTTTTGAAGAGAATTGTGCAAAATGCTTGTTTCTGACTCTGATTAAGAAATTTCGGTTCAGTTTTATAAGTTCCCATACAAAATATAATACAATATAATATGTGCATGTAATAAGTAATAAATTGATTATAGTGATTCTAACGAAACAGTTACTTTCTTGCTGCTGTATATAATTATCATTTTTATTGTAATGATATTCATTACAATAAAAATAATGATTATACAAGTAGTGATATTTATTATATTGTTCCTAATACAACAATGATTGTAAAAATGCATAATTTTGTTAGCATTAAGTTAAAAATGGCGATGATTACGTCACTAAAACTAAAGTGAATAACGTCTTCTTATTTTTGTAGAGAAGTGACGTAAAACCGAAATTTAAATTAGCTTTCTCTCTGTGTTCTTCTATGTAAAAATATATATCACCACTCACGCACCGTTCATGAGTCTGTCAGATTTAGTAAAATTGTTTAACTAGCCTTGCTCTACCCTACTAAGCAATAACTCAATAAATACAATAAACTTCATCAAAAAAAAAAAAAAGAATTTTGTTTATGATGATATTTGTTGTATCATTTAAACTTTTTATTCGCAAGTTTCAGTACAGATTTCAGAGGACGCTAGAAAGTTATAAAATCTTTCAGTGACCTTTTTTAGTTCTGTTTTCAATTTTTGTCATCTTTCACAGAACTGTAGCTTTTCAACAAGATTCTTTTTAAAATTGCCCATTTATTTTCGATTACGCGCAGCCTAGCGTAGTTTAGAGGATTCGCAAGTTTTTGAAAAATTTTGATGCCCAATTGGTTGTACCACTTGATTGCCTTCTTGCAGTAGAGAATCGTTGTGAAATCCGTCCGAAAGATAACTGACTTACTGTGATTATTAATAAATGGTAAAAGGCGTTTTTGAAAATCCAAGTCTTTCGAATGGCGAATGGCCAAAAAAGCAAATCGCTTGCCACACGAGGATCTTTGGATGAAACTTTTCAGTCCTAATATAATTAAATTTGTTGATTTCATAGACCATTTGAATGTTGATGGTCGGGCCAGTATAAAGGAAAAATAGGAGAAACATTTTTTGCATTAAATTTTTAGGCAAAGGCATAAATTTTTGTTAAAAAGTTAAAAAGTTTAACATTTTTCTTTGTACGGCGAATTGCTTTTAATTCTGCATTAATTGATAATTTCGAAGTTTTTTTCTAGGTATAAATCATTAAACCCTAGCTCATGAGTGCATTTTTGACAACGAAACAACTACATTTAAATTTATGTTTAACTCTTTTTAAAACCACGTTTAACAATGTCACACCTCTGTACATCAGAAGTATAATCAGGCCACTCAAAAGGATCATCACTGAGAAAAATAGGCGGCATTGTTATGCCATTTGATGTAGAATCACATATCAATCTATCTGACTCTAATCTAAAGTATTCAAATAATGAAAATAAGAATTATTTGTAGCTTTTTCTCTTCTTTTCGTGACACTACTTTTCACTTTTTTCGTACCTATAATTATATCGTGAAAAACTAAAGGAAGATAATTATTAAATTTTGCCAACCTTCTTTCACTGTGTGTTTTTTATGATATAAAAAACTGACAACGCATAATATTAATAAAAAAAGCCAATTCCAAGAGGTTTAATATAGTTTATTAAACCCTCCTTGATTTCTTCAAACAATAGGCTGCTGTTTAATAGCTATTCATTAACTGTTTGACAGATTTTTATAAAGCTTGCGTTTTATAATAAAATTCGGACCTCGGGAGTATTAAACAATTTTTTTTTTGCATTAAAATCATTATTGCTTATTTTACGCTCGCATAATTTAGATAATATCGTGACTAAAAAGCTAAGTTTTTTTTATTTATAGTAACTGTAACTATATATATATTTAAATATTTTTATTATAAAAAAAAAAAATTTTTTACCTTTTCAAAAGGACCCCTAAAAATGCTCCCCCCCCCCCCAATTAGGGGTGTGGGGGAGCCTAGCCACGGGTCTGATCACCAACACAAAAGCCTATCTCTTACCTTCATCAAAGTTTTCCCTTAACGAGCAAATATGCATTTCTTTTTTTGATCCATTAATCATCTAAAACTACTTATGGACATAGGTCCATAGGATATCGAAGTATAAAATCTTGGAACAGCCTTTCCTATAACCTAAAAGGTCTCCCTTCATAATATGTTTTTGAAAGCAACTGATACTGCTGCTTCCCAAATAAATACATAAATATAACCCTTGTATTATATTTTCAGTTTTCTGTTAAACTTAATGTTATAATATAAAACATAAATGTATTTTAGATCAACATATCTATCCTGTTTGGAGCTACAGTAACGTAAATGGAACCGTTTTTAAAACAAGTGTTTATCAGTATACATGCAAGCCTGTTCAAAAAAGGTTAAAACTTTTTTAATAGATTTTTATAAAAAATAATATGTGTGTGTGTAGAGTCATCAAAACTTAAAATTATCCAATTCAAATGTTTCACATACCCGACAAGGCAATTATATTCCTTAAAAAACTTACACTTAAAAATTATCTTCTTTGAGAGAGGATGGATTAACATCCCTTACACCCGTTTGTTAAACACTCACTAAATGTTTTTGTATGTGTGTTTGTATATGCGTTTGTGTCTGCGTGTGTGTGTATGTGTGTGTGTGTGTGTGTGTGTGTGTGTGTGTGTATGTGTGTATGTATAATATCTTTTTATAGAAGGCTATAATAAATTATCTCATATCTATATACTCATTTAAAGTCAGCTACACCATTTTCGATCTCAATTTCAATGAATATTTTTTGGTCAGAGTATATAACTATATGTCAATTCACCTGTTTAGTGAGAATCAAGTTTAAATAACTTTTGTTATTTGTTAAAAAACGTTTTTTCAAGTACTTTTTTTTACATAAAAATATATTAAATGTTTATAAAAAGTTATTTGACTTAATTATCATTTTTTTTCTTTTTTTTTTAACTAAAATATCTGATCAAATTGATCAAGACTTTCTTTTTATTCAATCCTAAGCTAATACTGTTGTAATTATACAATGAATAGTGCGGCCGTGTAATTACACAATGCTGCTGTGGCGCAGTGGTCAGAGTGGTTAGACAAGACCGACAACAACAACAACAACAACAACAAAAATAGCTTGAAGTCTATTTTTCGTGTTGTGTTTTTTTTTCATTAGTATTATTAACCTTTCTATAACTATTATCTCTCAGGTCAATACATATGTGTTATCAGCTCTAATTGCTGATAACACAAATGTATTGTTCTAATGTTATTATCTCACTCTTCATTTAGTTCTCTACCTTTATTTTTCTGTTATTCTCTCTTGTATTTTATCATTTTCAGGTTTGTCTTTTAAATAATGCTCTTTTTTTGCTCAAGCAAGCTTTCATCTTTTTTTTTCGATCAGCCTAAAATTAATTTTTTGTGATAAACCATTGAATATAGTTGCATCTTATTACACAATCTATTTTTATTGTTTAATAAACATTAATTTTTCTGGTTTTTTATCCTTAAATATTTATAATTTAAAATTTGTTTGGCGTATTCATGCTACTGATTCAGAGAATTTACAGTTTTTTAAGTTTTCTGTTAATAACTTTTTTTACTTCCTAAATCTCTACTTTGCTCTTAGCTTTGCTGGAAGTAAAATATTTTAAAAAAACGGCAGTTAGTGGTTCCCCAGTTGCCTTAGTTGCAGTTATATATATATATATATATATATATATATATATATATATATATATATATATATATATATATATATATATATATATATATATATATATATATATATATATATATATATATATATATATATATATATATATATATATATATATATATATATATATATATATATATATATATATATATATATAATTATCTACTATATATATTCTATACTTTTTATATAATGCTTTAGTATAATTTCTATATATACTACTTATATACATAAATATTGCTAAAACAATGATAAAATTTACTTTATGTACCAGAACCCCTAAGTTGTAACGGTACATCAAAACATCACTTGTTGAGTTACCTGTTATCACTGTTGTGTTACCTATTCATGCGTTTTAGCCATTCCATTTGGCATCCAACTCGCCTTAGAAAAGCATATCAGATCATAAAGACGAGTATACAAATATTCTATTGAGTGTATAATATTTTTATACTCTATTCATTACCAAACTTAAATTTAGAACTCTTTACAAATAAGAAAAAAGAAGTAAACAGTTGTTATTTTTATAAAACGATTATATTTATAATTTAAATACTAGTTATGTTTGACACATTTTTGCGTCGAGCATGTATAAAAATTATGCGTCAGATGAAAACCATAATGATTATATAATGTCGTTACATACGAAGTCTTGCACACTTGGATTTTTCAATGTATTTATTTATGTATATTTTGACGCCGAAATTTTATTTGTTTTTTAACATTGATTGTTTTTAATTTATCCTTAACTTATCCTATTTACTTGATAAAAGCAAAACTTTTGTAAAGTGAGTATCAATATATTTTAACATTGTAAGGATAATTTCATGGCAAACGACACTTCTTCATACATTGAAAGGTATTAAGAAGAAACAATTCTTTACTATTAATGTTTTTAAACTTACTATAAAGTTAGATTTTTACAATTTTTTTATAATAACAATACAGTTCTTTACTTCAAGCCCTCAAGATTAAAAGTGCTTTGATAATCGCATCAAGTTTTCTTAAGTGCATTCTTTGATCTTTTCTGACTAGCAACCAATTACCATCTCCTATCATAGCAATATTCTATTATCCTTAATATCTTCTTTCCATTATTCAAATGTTTTAATGAAATATCGCATCATGCTTTTCAATGATATCACCCCTAATTTTGGGAGAAAAAACTAGGCGTGAATGCGAGATATGAATCTATATGAACATTTTACAACCGAGTTTCTTGAATTTTTCAATTAGCTTTACAACCATTTGTTTGAAAACAGGATTCTTGCGATTTCCTAGAAGTCCAACTAGTTAAAGAATTCAACTAATCAAGGAATCTTATAGTCAAGGAATGCAACTAGGAATTGAACTACATCAGGATATACAAACCGCGCTTCTTTTTCAACTTCAACATTGCTTTTATTTGAGTTTTAACAAATATACCACATCTTTGCCTAAGGTAGCTTTGGAAACATAAGAAGAGTTTATTGTATGCTTTTCTATCAAAATCTAAGCCTTTTATAAACTTGTTTTACCAATATTAACTTAACATGATGTGGTGGTTAAGATATTGTAGGAATCAGGTAAATGCTGCTTGAGAATATTTATCAATCATAGCTGTATTTCCACAGGTGGAGACATTCTGCTAAAGTAGTTTGATAGGTATCATATATCCCTTTTTCTGATCACTCATGGGCATTCCAAAATAATTTACGCACAATATACGTGGCATGGTACTTTTTACGATCTTATTTAACACCTGTTTTAGCCAATATCATATCCTCACCTAATGCAAATATCGTATCATATAATCATCATTAAAATTTAATTCACAATTTTTCAATAAATAAAACATTTTTCATGTTTTTAGAAGAATATGTTTAACTTAATAGCGCTTCTTGTTATTTTTTAAATAATAAATGTTTTACTTATTACATTACCAACTTTACCTTTGTTTATTTTAAATACCTAACGGAATTGTTTATTTTTAAATTAATTTTTATATTTACGGAATTTATCAAGGGGCTCGGCGATGAGACATATTAGTCTTCTTCTCGCCCCTGGTACCTATATATCTTGTTAGTAGCATACGTATTGTATATACTTACGCGGCGAAAAATATATATATATATATATATATATATCCACACTCATTGCAAAACATATCAAAAGAATTTAGACATTTATTAGAAGTTATTTTGAAAAAAATAGTTGTAAAAAACAAATTTGAGGCGTATAAGATACGTATTATAATATAAGATTTATTTGATAAAAATTACTTCGGGCTTGTGCTCAAATATTGCGTGCGTATTTGATAACAGACATGCTAAACGTTTTTAATACGTTTTATGAACACAGATTTTACAACGTGGTAAATGAAAACCTCGTATTTAAAGTAACTATTATTAAAATATTTTTCCATTTAAATTAATTGGATTATTATCCTCTTGTAGACCAACTACTTTTCTTTCCATCATCTAGACTGCGAGAGAAACAATCTTTTAAAATCTCCCACTAATTGTTAATTATTATTTTTTTTTTTTAAATGTTTTCTTCCTACATAGATTTACTTTTGTACATCTTTTATTTTTTCTTTCTGTATAAATAAATTATATAGCTAAATATTAATTATGCATCAATATTATTAACGGTTATTCCAATAAAGTAAATTTCTAATAATGTAAAACAATTAAAGAAATCAATTTGTTTTCTTTACACTTACAGAGTTAAACGTATTAACGTTTGAACCTTGGGCCTCTTGGTTCTTGGCCATTACCTTAGCCACTGTGCCACGGCTTGCCATATAATTAATAAAAATTATAAGGTTTAAAATTTTAAAAACAATTACGAAATAGTTGCACAATTCGACTACAATTGTCGTTATCATAAAAAATTCGGCTACAACCGTCTATTTCAAGGATTTCCTAATAGCGGCTCGCAAAATGCATACGGCTCTTAGAACGTCATTGCTGCTCACGAGCAGCATGCGGCTCTTTTTAAAAGTTGTATTGATTTCCTGATAATCAATTAATAATTGAGTTATAAAAAGACGGAAGACATAATTTTCATCAAAGTTTGGATATTTTTTTTAAACCTATTCTTCTCAATTTTTATATGTTTTTTTTTTTTAATACCTAAAAAAATTTCATTAAAAAAATATTTATTGCAGACACCCCCTTTTACTCACAAAACATGTATATAATCATCGGCATTATTTTTTTTTATCAAGTTTTATAATTTTTGTAGTCAAATACCAAGTGAAATCACGTGACCCTTACTTTCAAACGCATATGGTGTTTTGTATATTACAATCAAAATGCCGTTGACTAAACGGAATATTTCGAAATTAGTCACAGTTTTCTTATGGACCCCTTGTTGTCAATTTTTGTTACCTAAATGCTTTAATATTTTGTAAAATTATCCAATATCTTTAAAATTTTTACTTCTCTAATATTAAGTTTATTCACTTTTTAATCATATATAATAATGTAATGTTGAAACAATTTAAAATTTTTACACACATACCTATAAGACATGTAATGTTAAACGCCACCATAAAACAAAACATATGTATTTTTCTGAGAAATATTCATTAAATTATTGTCATAGAAAAAAATAAAATAAAGTTAATTAAAACAACATTTAAAAAACAAAAAACGAATATTTTATCTTCCAGCAAAGAATCAAATATTACAACAGAAGCAAGTTTAATTTTAGCTTGAAATATTGAAAGAAGTAAACATCCTTACACCGATAGAGAGCTTGTAAAACAAGTTCAAAAATAAAAGTATATCTGAGATTAGTGTCAAAGTTGAACAGTATTTATTAAATGACTTAAAAAATTGTGAAGCATTCAGTTTAGCATTGGATGAATCAACAGATGTTTAAAATAAAAATCAAATGGCAGTATTTGTTCGATATTTAACATCAGATGTACTTGTGAGTTATTAAATTTGGAAAAGGTAAAAGACATATCTCGTGGAATTGATTTAAAGGAAGCCTATGATACTGTTCTGGTGAAAGCCAATGCTCCTAAGAACAAACTTATTAATTTTACAGATGTTGAAACAGCAATGGTTGTAAAATATGTTGCACTTATTGGTTAACTAAAAAGTGATCTTACGTATTCACAGTTTCTCCCTTACTTTCAAGTGACGCTCTCTATAAGTTTGTAGAACTATTAGAACCAATTAAATTATTTTACTTGAACAGCAAAAGACAATTAAAATCCTTGACAATGTGAAATTTTTGCAAAATATTTTATTTTAACTGAGCTATTGCAACATTTTTAAAATCTGAATTTATCACTTCCGGGAACAGAAAAAACTTTGATCCTTGATCTTGCTCAAATTTGATTTTCAAAAAAAAAAAATAAAAAAAAAAATAAAAACTGTTTCAGTAGGATCTTAACTTTTTAATCAATTTTAATCATTTTTTTAATCATTTTCCTTGAATGAAGAAGACGATTCATAATCCTAATCTTACAATTTAGTATGATGATCATAAGATTGAATCTACCGAAAAGAACTATAGAATTTATTTGAAGACTTTTAAAACAGGTTTAAAAATTTGTATGCTCTTAAATCATTGTTAGAATTTATAGTAAAATTTTTTTTAATTGTTTTTGTTAGTGATGGTTGTCAGTGATTGGTTTTTTTAAAAATAGTTCCTGAAGTTAAGTATTCTCAACTAAAAAATATTAGTATAAAACTCATTTCATTTTTTGGTTCAACATATACATGTGAATCATTATTTTCCACAATGAAGTCTGTTAAATCAAAGTATCGTGCCAACCCACGTGGCTGGAAAGGTCAGTTGGTTAGAGCGTTTAATGAAAAGTTAAAACCCGGATTGCTGTGCGATACGGATTCAAATTCTGCCACCGCCAAATCCGCTTAAGTCGTATTTCGGTAGGCAAAAATGTTGGTAAATAACGAACGCTACTTTGAATTAATCTAATGAATATTTGTGGCTGTTCCTATGCTAAGCCAACAATATCTTCGGATAAAAACATTGAAGAGAAAAATATAGCTTGAAAATTCCAATAAATAAAAAAAAAAAAAAAAAAAAAATCTAACTAGTAAACATTTGTTAGAGTTGCTTAGAATACCAACTACGAACTTAAAATCAGGTTTAAAAAAACTTACCACTCGGTGTAGTTAAAGCACTTTTAAAATAATAGAGCGTCGGTATGATATTTTGTTGACTGCGACATTTTTCCGTTAAATGGTCTGGTCTGTAAATTATGAAAAGACGAAAAAATTTAAAATGATAAATTTTGCGCTATCATAAAATATAAATGTTTGTAGCGAAAAAATCCAGACCCATGATTCTTTTTTTTTATAAAAAATAATCTTAAAATCACAATCGCTCGTCCAAATTTAAATAAGAATTTATATAAACAAATTTTTTAGGTGAAATAAACATTATAGTTTAACAATATAATCTGTTCTGATCGTTTATTGGCAATTTTCCATAATTATGAGCTCTTTTTTGGTCGGAATTCCAGTATTTTTTGTGAAAATCGATAGAAATTTTGTGTTTTGACAACTATATATTGTTAATATACGTCAGAACCGATGAGAACTAGGATCAGTAGTAAATTAAGAAACTTTTTCAAAAGATTTTAACTAAATTCATATTAATGCCGATGAGCGGAATTGATCTAAAGACTTCAAATTAGTGTTCTTTAGATACACTATTACGGGTAATAAAAAGGTTTTGAAAATTATATATATAAAAAAAAAGTTTCTTTAAATATTATAAAAACCTTGAGCAAAAAAAATTATAGCATTTAAAGATCTTGTTTGGACATAATATGCTTACAAAATCATGCTAATTCCAAATAAAAGTATTCGAATATTTTGTAAATCGCCTTAACTACACCGAGCAGAAGCGTTCAAAATAACAGTGCCTAATAAATGTATATTAAATTATGCAATAAATTATGCAAGAAAACTTTTTAATTGTTTTTTTTTGCAAAATAAATGATGTTGTAATAAGAATTCTTTTTGTTATGTCTGGTGATTTTCTTAATTTAAATAAAGTTATTTTTTAATTGTAAAAATAATAGTAATTCGAACTTAACTGAAGGTTATTGAAAATTTTGTTTTACTTTGTAGTGATTTATTTATTTGGTATTTTGTAGTTTTTAGTAACATAGCCATTAAGTAGTTTTTAGCAAGTTCAGTTTGAATAAAAGCAAGTTTAATTCAAATACATTAAAATATTTTTATTTATAAATTATTTTTATTTTTTTTCTTGTAAGAAACTTTTTTATTTTTAGATTTTTACATCTTGCTCCCAATTATTTTTATAGGAAAATTTATGGTTCCAGTTGTGTTAATTTTTAAAAGATTTATGATCTGGAGATGATTTCTCAATTTTTTTACTTATAGTTTTCTAGTGCGAATAAAAAGGAATGAGATTTTATGTAGCCAAGTTTAGATGTAACGAAGAGTTTTTACTTTTATCACAAAAACTGAATACTAATCATATATTGTGTACATACAAAGTTTATTTATAAAAGTACAATTTCCATTGAAAAAAAAATCTAATTATTGCTGTATAAAAAATTTACATTCGTCGATTTTTTTTTAAAGATGAAGTTGGCATAGCAACATTTTGTTTCGGCTCTTTGACATACGTCAGTATTTATATGTGGCTCTCGCGTCAATAATTCTGGCCGGCGATAGTCTATACCATAATAAATGTATTGATTGGGTTTTGATGGATTCTTCATGATTTAAAAAAAATTTAATTTTTTTTTTAAGTATTTATCATAAATAAACTCAAAATGAATTTTAAACAGTTTAAGTTAACTGGTTAGAGACGCAGTATTAAAAAGATAAATATAGATAGTTTTTATTTCGTGCACAAAAACGATTCCTAGCATTTACAACTAATTTTTAAAAATTTTTTCTAGGATTTATAATTAATTCTAAACCGCCTATTATTTTAAAGACCAAATTCAATAAATTTTAAAAACATTAAATATTAATTTTTATAAACTAATAAATGCAGTCTTAAAAAAAGCAGTAGTTAAAAAAAAAACAATTAGATTAGATTGAAATTTATTTAAACATTTATTTCTTTAAAATAATTGCTTATTAAAATAGAACTTGATTTATTTAGATAAACTAAATTGTTCAGAGTTTTGTAACATGTAATCATGTCTTGCTTAAGGTGACGAATTCCTAGTAGTTCCAAACAAAGATTTTTAAGCCTTTTAAAATATGAAAAGTTATTTTGGTTAACAATTATCTTGGTAAAACGCCTTTGCACTTTTTCTACTGTTTTTTTTCATTTCAGTGTGATTTGGCGCTCAAACCGAAAAACATTATACTAAGATTGGTCTTATGTAGGTAGTGTAGGCTTTTACGACGCGGGTCGCTACTTTTTACGACGTGTGTCGCGACTTTTTACGACGTCGGTCGCAACTTTTACGACGTAGGTCGCAACTTTTTAAAAGACTTTTAAGGATTGAATATTCTCAAATGTTTGATGCGCGAACGATAATTGAAATATGATTATTGTAATTTAAGTAAGAATCCATGGTCGCTCAAAGATCTTATGGGTTTGTAGACCAGGTTAAATTATTATATCCCAAAACTATTTTAATTAAACAATTAGGAATTTTTTTTTGATATTTAGGCAGCAGAGTTCATGTTACCAACGAGATATAAAAACTGGTATTGTTGTCTGTAAGTACTTAACTTTAAGCTTTTTCAATCCTTTAATATTTTTGTTCTTTCCAATTTTAATTTATAAAATCTAAAGCCTTGATCATCCCTTGCTACACCCACACAACACCATTCTAATATGCCAAAATTTATATTAGGGTGTGAGAAAAATTTAATATAATTAAATAGTTTACAAAAATAAGACTTCTAATTTTTGATTTTCTACAATTATCGAAGTTATCTATCTAGCATTTTAACAATAATGCTATTTTTATAGTTTGATTTTTAATACATAAACATGCAATGAAATGTTGGACCCAACTTTATTCAACTTTCAACAATATTATCTATATTTTTTTAAAAATTTTACTCAATATATACTATGTCATATAATAATATACAAAAAAAATGCTTAAAGCATTGAAAAAATATAGAGTTGTAAATTTAAATTAAACATGGAGTTATAGAACTAAAACTAATTATAGACATATGTAAAAATAAAATCAAAAATAAGTTTTTTTGACCAATCAGAACCCAATATACAACTTGATATAAGAAATTTAACTTATGCAAATCCAATATGTAAAATTTCGTTCAGAAAAACGCCATTACAAATTTCTATTTCCACAGTATTATCTTACGTGCTTAGAAAACTCAAAGAACAACGAGAGAATTTGTAGATTTATTTCAAATTTCAGTGTCAGTATTAAATAAATGTTGAAAAATTTTTTGAGTGAAGCTTAACTTTGAAAGCAACGGTTCTTAGAAAAACATGAAAGATTTAAAAAAAACCTGTTTCTTATTTATCACCGTAACCATATATTATAAATATAGATTAATATTTGGTTAACAAATAGTCACGGGTCATGGTTAGAATTTATACCTTTAACCAAATCAAAAAAAATGCGGATTATTTTACGGCAAAAAAAAACATATTCTTACATCCTCAAAAGCTAGCTGAACTCTTTTAAAATTATTAAATAGTGATGCAGCATGGTTAGAATTCTTAGACTTAACCAAATCAAGAAAATGTAGGCTATTTTGAATATACGGCAAAAAAAAACATAACAATGAAAATATTAAACTCTTTAAAAAAATTAGCTTAAAGGTTTTCATTTAACAACTCAATTAATTATAAGAAAAGTTTTTTTTAACGTCTCAAAATAAGATAAATATACTTTTAAATGATTTAAAAAAAAAACCGAATCACCCTAAACTTCTAATCTAATCCTTACTATCGTATTGTTATCTTATTCATTCTTCAAATTAAGGTGGTAGGGATGCAAATAAGGTACTTTCTGAAATTCGTCAATGCAACATTTTTTTAAATTTATTAAAACTGTTAAATACATTAAGAGAAATAGTTTGCAAAAAAAAAAAAAAAATTTTTTTTAAACAGAAAATCCATAATAGCGGAAAATTTATTAATTTTGACCCTTACAAATGATGTTTTTGAAACATGATATCTTGCTAAAACAAAAGCAAAATTGAAAATCCTTTTGCACATATGAAAATTATTATATTATACTCCGGATGACCCTCTAAGAGTTATTTTAGTTTTTGTGAAAATACTACTTTTTTTAAACAAATGTTCATACAAATTTTCACATAAACTGAATTTTCTTAAGATATTAAGTGTTTTATGTAATATCATGCAGAATCTTCTTGAAGTATCAAGAAGAAGATATTGAAGAATCTTCTTGAAGTATTGGAGTATAATTTCATATTAAATTGAAAATTTCAAGTCAAATGCTCAACTCTCGAGTTATCTTGTTTTGAGTTGTAGCAAGTATGCAAAGAAAATTGAAACAGAGAAAAATGTAAAACAAAATAAAATGTTTAAAAAATAAGTTCTCCTCCTCATTAAGCACCAGTTTGATATGAATCTACAGATTCTTTTTCATTCATTTTATCAAAAAAAAAAAATTTTTCTGGCTCGCAATCCTTTCTATGCTTTTTCTCTGTAACCGTGAACTTCTTTTCCATTCGCTTAATGTGTGAGTACTCTAATTTTGTTGCAGTTGCCTTTGAAATTTGTCTTTTCAAACCAAAGTGTTCTAAAACCTTCTATATTCCCTTGCGTCCATCATTAAAATGAATACTAGCTGAATTTACACCCATTTTTAATGGTACAGATTTTGGTAACCTTGACCATATGAGTCTATTTAAGGCCTCATTTCCATTCTAGGTTTTTCCATGCACATATTTTTTGAACAAATCCTCATCCATTAAATCCTTAAAAAATTGTAGAAGACTCTTTATCCAAAAAGAGATTGTATTGGAAGGTTTATAATCCTTTTGGCCCTTGGACCAGTACTAGCACCAACTGTTGGTATCTCGAGGGCATTATTTATGACGCTCAAGAGGATTATTTGTGTTTGTGAAATGAAACAGTATTGCATATATGGCTTTTTTCATAACATAAACATTGAAAAGGTTTGATCTGATTGCCATACCATAATCATTTTGCATGGAATCAATGCATTTTCCGTCAGTTGACTTTTTCTAGAGACAGGAGTTTTTGTACCCTTGTAAGATTTAACAAGGTTGCGTAATCGGGTTCCTTATCGTTTCTGCACATGTCCAACGCAGTCAAGTTTAATCGGTGTTAAACTATGTTTTACATATGGTTTAGATCTAGCAACATCATTAAAAGATGAAGTATCACCATCACCCAGATAATTGACCGGTTAAATGTATCAACAGCACCAGGTGACTCCATTGTACCAGAGGATTTTTCATGATTTATTTGACAGTGGTGATCAATTTTCCATAAATCATATTCAAGTGAACCTTTATTATTCTCCCAAATTTTGCATCCAAAGCAATGCTTTGACTTTACTACCATATCCAAATACTTATCATCTGATATCGCAGTTACTAACCCATGCAAAGAGGCATGTCCTTTTTTTTGTCAGGAACCGTCAATGGAGCTTCTTCAGCAGCACGTTCCATATATTCTGCAACAATTTTTTAGGCTTTAATTAATTTATTTTTCAACAGTTTAAAGGAGAATTACGCCACGGACTTTAAGTTCATAATAGAGGAAAATATCTCCATAGATGAAAATCCACAACCTATTTCTTGAAAACCAATTACAGCTCGGGCATTTACATAAAATGTTTTACGACCTTTAAAATCACTTTCTGAACTATAGGAGGTCTTAGGAGATGTATAAAAAGGTTTCATCCAATCACATATTGAACATTTTATAAGAATACAATGTGCAAAACCTATTTGCTTTTAATGTTGATCAATAACAACAACTTTAGCAGCACAATCAGGACATGCTATAAGTTCACGACAAATATTTGCTAACTCATTAAAATGAAGAAATAAGAATAAGTCTTCAATATTATCAACCAAACCCTCTGAGTTAGACTGATCAATAGTATAAGAAATCTTTTTTGCTGAGGATGATTGAAGTGACTCAACAATAACACAAGGTGTCACAGTAAATTTTGGTTGTTTTGAAACAATACTGCTCCATTTTCTTTTTTTGATTCGATAAAAATTTTTTTTAATTTTTGATGTGTTCTTTATATTCTTATTTTTACTACTATCTTCATGAAATTCCATTGTATTAATTATTAAAACAATTTAAGTTCAAAGACATACTGTTCTCAAAAGAATAAATTTTTGTAAATTATATACATTATAAAATGTTCAATCAGCTTATTTTTCTGTCTGAGAAATGTTTGCAATTTCAAAATATGATATTTAGACCGTTAAAGATATAGCATATACATCCTAGTGAATGTTCTGAGTAAAATAAGGCACATATTATGAGATGAAAACATAGAAAACATAGAAAACTTTTGTTTACGGTAACTAGGGACGTTGCTATGGACTCATAGTCACTGATGCTACCTCAGAGTGTTTAAAAGTGTAAATATCGACCAAGAAATTTTTTTTATTGTTTCAAATATTAGTTGCATGAAAATAGATCTAAGGATGAAATTCCACCATAAAAAAAAATGTTTTTTTCGATCATTATTTGCATCCCTAACACCTTAATAAAACTAAAATCAAAAACATCCGTTGATTTTTTAGGAATCAAGGAGTATATAACACTTTTAAATTACTACATTCAAGTTTGAAATGAATTTTTTTTTTTGTTATTCAAAATTTTAGTTCTTCCAGTTCAGTTTTACGATGTGATTGGCTACAGTAATAAAACAGAGATGATTTATGGTTACACAAATCGTAGAAATATTGTCGAGCTTAATTTTAATCGAAAACCAGCGCTTGTTATATTAACGCAAGATAGATGGAATGACTTGCAAGCTAATCAGTTTGTATGGAGACTTTTATCAACAAAATAAATGTGACAGAAAAGTTTTTTAACTTTTAATAAGTTTTTAATGATATATATTTGTTGTAACTGATTTTTTAAAAAGAAATAAAAAAATAAAACACAGACGAATACTATCTATTATTTACTTTTGTGTGATAGTTCAGTTCGATTAGCTCAAACCTTCAACACACGTAAAAACTCTGATGACGGACTTAATAAATCAAAAATATATTTAAATATAATAAAGTTTTTAGCGAATTATTATTTGTAAAAAATTTAGCACCTGCTGATTATTGTTTCAAAAAATTAAATTTTATATTTTATTATGATAAATTTTATATTTGTTTAATTTATTATGTTATATATTATAAATAGTTTTATTAAATTTAATTTTAGAACTAAATTTTGTTATTATACGGAAAAAAACACATCTAAACTATTTACAGTATTTGTGATAATAAGAATATCAATTTTATTTAAATTTTAAATTTTCAATTAAATTTTTAAAATTTGTAATAAATTGTAACAAATATTAAAAATTTGCAGTTATTAATTGCATTCATTGCTAATTATCGAGCCTGCTAGTACACTCGACCTTATTTTAACAAATAAGCCAGACCGTGTAATCTTCATTAAACAAGGCAATTCTTTTGGTGACACTCCAATGGGCCAAGCACACTGTTTCATTGAAGGCCAATTTGCTGTTGCATGCCTCAACAACTCGCCTACTTTGCCGCTAAAACCTCGACTCATTTGGAGTCGAACAAACTACGCAGCAATATCAGCACATATTGCAGCTGTTGACTTGGAAACAGTATTTACTGAACTAAATGCAAACGAAGATTACCAACTTCTAACAAACGTGTACAATAAAGCCACTAACCTACACATTCCGTCAACTACCACTCCCTTTAAAGTAAAGCAGGAACAATTGGTAACACCAGAACTTATTGAGGCGGTCAAAGCTAAACGCACTTCTTGGGCCAAGTACATTAATGCAGGTTGAGATACGCACAAATTTCTAAAAATATTGCATCGCACTGCCTGCAAAAAAGTTAAAAAAAAGGTCAAAGCTGGTAGGCAGAAGTACGAAGAGCTACTCGTCAAGGATTCCAAAAGCAACCCTAAACGCTTACATGCATATATAAGAAGCTAGCAGAGCGTCAGTAACAACTTTACATTGCTTAAACAGTCAATAGCAACATCACAAACGATACCGGTGATATATGCGCATCGTTAAATAACTATTTTCAATCAGTCTTTGTTTTATAGCCCGAAGGTTCAATGCCAGGCTTTGAAAGTTGTACAAAAGCACTTTGTGTCATCGATCCAGCAATTTTCTCTATCGACATAGTAAAAAAATGCCTTACCAGCCTTGATGAAAGAAAATCTACAGGCTACGATGGCTTACATTCACGGGTCCTTAGTAAATGTTCAGCTACCTTTGCCAAGCCTTATTCGCTTATCTATAAATGCTCGTTTGCAACTGGTGTAGTTCCTAACTTGTGGAAAAAATTGAATGTAACACCTATTTTCAAGAAGAGGAGTAGGCTAAAAGCATCCAACTACCGGCCAGTCTCGCTCACTTCCATACCTTGCAAAATTATGGAAAGTATTTTACAAAAAAGAATAATGAACACTAGGTTGCTAATGGTCTAATTTCTCCAAACTAGCATGACTTTGTTCATCGTAAGGGATGCGTATCAAACTTTTTAGAAAATCGGGACATCATGACAAAAGCAACTCACTGCAGACACGCAGCAGACAACATTTACACAGACTTTGCAAAGGCGTTCGACAAAGTACCAAATAAACGCCTCCTTCATAAGCCGAGAGCGTACGGTATTCAAGGCGCTCTCGTTGACTGGATTGCAGGTAAGCTAAACAATCGATGTCAACGAGTGGTTATAAACAGCATTACTTCTGAATGGAGTAGAGCAGTAGAACCCTTATATTCTGGTCATGAGCCAAATAACTTTCCATTAGTTTACTCTTCTTCTTTTAGAAGATCAAATAATTAAAGTTCTTAAAATTTTTCCTAATCATCATACTTTTAATGAATTACCTTATATAAACCATTCAAGCTATTAAAAATAAGGGAATTAAAAAAACCCTTCGGTTTTCTTCTCTCCTAAAAGAGGATTGCCCACCCCCCAGATCCCAGCGCCGCACTGGCGCATCCCCTGCTGCGGCTGTCGCAGGAGGCCCCGCGCCGCACCAACATTTTCATCAATAGAATATAATAAAAATAAAGAAGGAATAGCTATAATAATTAATATGATAGCAGGTATTAATGTTCACACAATTTCAATAATGTTGTTCTCTAATAAAAATTTGTTATAATTTTTAATTAATAATTATAGAAAATAATAGTTATCCTACTAATACAAAAATAATTACCATATAAAACATTGTATTATCATGAAAAAATATTAAATTATTACTACAAGATGAAGCACTTTCTTGGAAAGAAAGTTGATTTATTTCAGGGATACCTTTATAGATAAAATTATTAAATAATAAACAAATGAAAAACTTATTAAAAATATTAAATTTTTCATAAACAGAGGCTATTGGATTCGAAACAATTGGATTCGAACCGATTGGATTCGAACCAATTGGATTCGAACCAATAATTTTGAAGACTATTTGATCTACTTAATCTCTCTTTATTAAACAATTACTTTAAATTTTTAGATTCTTTCAAATTTTTTTAATTAGTTTTTTTAATTAACTAAGTGAAACTTTATTCCTTTCGTACTAAAAGTCTAAAGTAATTTTATAATTGTAGATAGAAACCTTCCTGTCTTGTGACGGAAAGAACTCAAATCATGTAAAATTTTAAAGGTCGAACAGACCTACCCTTAATAACTACTGCATTATTAGGATATCTTAATTCAACATAGAGGTGACAAACCTTGTTTTTGATAAGGACTCTAAAACAAAATTATCTTGTTATCCCTAAGGTAGCTTATATCAATTAATCGTTATTTATTATTTATTATAATAACGGGTCATTATAGCCTACTATAGTAATTGTTAAATTGTTTAATTATACAATAATTTTATTATACTGCTTATTTTTGTTTTTTTAAAAAAACAGTCGCCCTAACTAAACTACCAAACTTTCTAATTTTGTTAATTTTTTATTATTTTTTCAAAAAAAAAATTATTAGTAAAGCTCTATAGAGTCTCTTCGTCTTACAATTTTAAATAGCATCTTAACTATTATTTCAATTAAAATGTTTTTTTCTTAAGACAGTGAAAAATTCGTGTAACCATTCATTCTCTCCATCAATTAAATGACAACTAATTATGCTACTTTATCACAGTCAGAGTTACTGCATCCATTTAATATTATTTAAATTAGATAATAATTATTTTTATATCATTGGGCAGGTTTCACCTTCAATATTATAAAGGGCTATGTTTTTGGTAAACAGTCGATATTTTATTTTGCGAGTTCCTTAAAAAAAATAATTTATTATTTATCCTAGCTTGATTTAGATTTTTACAAAACATAAATTAAAGTTTTCTTGAAAAACTTTTTAATATATTCCTTATAAACTAAGAAATTTTATTACCTTAATCAATTTATAAATTAAGAAAAAAAATAATTTTAAATAAATTTAATTTTACTCATGCTCATATTATTACTCTTTTAAAATTTTCATAATGTATTAAAAAAAATTTCATTACTATTTTAATTTAATTAACTATATTGTAAAGTTATAATTTTTCTAAAGTAAAGTTTTACGTAATTTTGAAAATATAGCTGATTCTAAGCTAATTTACTTTTTGTTTAAATCATAAACTTATTTGTAAATGTTTATAGAGATCATTGATGTTGGATTTTACTCGTTAAATAACTCGTTAAATTGTTTTTTACTCGTTAAATAATCTTTGCATTAAATAACTCCTTTTTTTAAAAAAAAATTACTTATATAAATTTTATGAAAAACCTGCTATCCCTTAACTCGAATAGTTTTTCACTATAGATCTATCTAAAGCATTCGACACAGTCGATCATTGCATTCTCTTACAAAAAATTAAGCATTATGGTATAATTAATACAACCTATTTCTGGATTAAAAGTTTTCTTACTGATAGAAAGCAATATGTTCATAATGTGCAATCCAGAATATTAAATGTCGTTTGCGGAGTTCCACAAGGATCATCCTTGTGGAACTCCGCATCCGCAAGGATCAATCCTTGGTCCGCTCTTATTCTTAATCTATATTAACGACTTTTGTAATGCATCATTAAAACTGAACTCAATAATGTTTGCAGACGATACTAATTTATTTCTTACCAATAATCATATTAAACATCTTTACACAGATATGAACATTGAATTGAATAAAGTAAATAGTTGGTTTAAAGCTATCAAACTCACACTTAATGTTGAGAAAACCAACTATACTCTATTCCATAAAAAAACACAAGAATCAAAGATTCCTCTTAAATTGCGCGAACTGTACTTAAATGATACAATAATTAAAAAGCAAGCAAGTATAAAATTTCTCGGAACCCTTGTCGATGAAAATTTATCCTGGCTTCCCCATATAAATTACATACATTCAAAAGTTACCAAAACTATTGGGGTAATGTATAGGGTTAGACCATACGTCAGTATTTCAAGTCTCAAATTAATATACTTTGGACTGATACACTGTTTTATTAATTATGCAAATATATAATGGGCAAGTACGCAAACTTCAAAAAAAACTTCAAAATTTATAGAATGGTCACACATTTGGCTCTTGCATTTCAACGTTGAGAAATGCAAAGTAATGCATGTTGGGCGCAGATGTAACAAGTTGACGTACAAATACTCAATGTCTAACGTCAACGGCACCCGTCGTCCTCTCGAAAAAACCGCTGTCGAAAGAGACCTTGGTGTGATGGTCTAGAACGATCTTAAAGTCAGACCGGAAATAGAGTCAGCCGCATCAGTAGCAGATAGAATGCTAGGGCGACTCAAAAAAACATTTCGCAGTTGCAGTTTTTATTTATGGTGCACTCTGTATCACACTTACATTTGCCCCCATCTTGAGTTTGCTGTACAAGCCTGGTCACCGCATTTATAATCAGACATTGCCATTCTTAAGCCAGTCCAACAACGAGCAACAAAAACAATATCGATTATTAAACACCTGTCCTATGAAGATTGATTCCAACGGCTCGGTTTAACAACTCTTGAAGAACGCCGCAAAAGAGCAGATCTTATCGAGCAATTCAAAATCACTTGTAAACTCGAGCTTGTCAGATTTGTCGTCCCGCAAAAATTTTCAAAAATTAAAAATAAGTATATTCCAAGAGGCCATAACCATAAACTAGAACGTCAGATGGTAAAAAATTGTAAGGAGCGATATAACTTTTTTTCAAATGGAATTTTTGCCCCATGGCATGCGCTTTCGCAAGAAGCAGTGAACGCTCAATCCATCAACGCTTTTAAAAACAACATAAGAAAGTAACTTTATAGATACAACTGCTGCTTTGTCTGTAGCGTCTGTATCTCCATGTTCGTCAGCATAGAGGGGCCTGGTGTGGCACCTCTTCATCAAATTATAAATGGATTATTGTATTTGTATTTGATCACTGAAATAAATAACAATAATAATAGTAATTATACATTTTAGTATACTATAATTTGATGGTCGTCTCCAAAAAATATTTTATACCTTTAGTAGCTTCTACTTGCCAAACGGCTGAGGTCGCTAAACTGAAAGTAAAATTTTTGGAAAATTGGAGCAGCCGTGGCGCAGTAGTTAGAGTTCTGGGTCAGAACCCAGATATCCAAGGTTCGGCGCCGGCTCTAGCCCAATAAACAACATGTAAAATCAGATTTAAAAAAACTTATCAGAGGCGTTCAAAATTTTAGTGCCTAATAAATGTATATTAAATTATGCAAGTAATTATGCAAAAAGAATTTTCTATAAAATTCTTTTTGCAAAATTACTTTCATAATTTACTATAGATTTATTAAAATAACTAATGTTATAAAAAAAATTCTTTCAGTTGTCTAATGATTTTCGTAATTTTGAAAAAATATTCTTTATAAAATTGTAAAAATAAAAGTAATTTGAAGTTAATTGAAGTTCATGTAAAATTTTGTCTTTTTTCCTAGTGATTTATTTATTTGTTATTTTGTAGTTTTCAGTAACTTGATGTTACTGAAGTGCAATGGAGTGCTTTTTAGCAAGTCCAATTTGAATAAAAGCAAGTTTTATAAATTCAAATAAATTCAAGTAGATTAAAATATTTATTATTTTAAAGAAACCTTGTTATCTTTAGGTTTTTATATCTTGCTCCCAATTTTTTTTAATAAGAAAAATTATGTTTGTAGTTGTGTTAAATTAAAAAAAAGATTTATGATCTGTAAATCTCTATTTTTCTACATATGTTTTTGAGTGTGAATCAAAAGGAATCAGATTTAATGCGTGAATCAAAAGGAATCAGAAGCAGCCAAGTGTATCTTTAAAGAATAGTTTTTACTTTCTTTATTAAACAAAGACTAAATACTAAACATATATTGTGTAGATACAAAGTTTGTTAATTTACAATTTTCATTCAAAAAAATATAAATATTGCTGTATAAAAATTTTACATTTGCCGATTATTCTTTTTAAAGATGAAGTTGGCATAGCAACATTTTATTTCGGCTCTTTGGCATTCGTCAGTATTTATATGCAACGCTCGCGTCAATTCTGGCGAGCGATAGTCTATATTATTAAAAATGTATTAATTCGTTTTTGATGGATTCTTCATAATTAAAAAAAAAGTTCAGTTTTTTTTTTAAGTTTTTACCAAAAAGTTAAAATGTTTATGAATTTTAAACATTTTCAAGTGGACTGGTTAGAGACGCAGTAACTAAAAGATATATATCGATAGTTTTTATATCATGCAAAAAAAGATTTCTAGCATTTATAGCTAAATATTTACAAATTTTCATGGATTTTAAAACACAGGTGAATACTATCTATTATTTACTTTTGTGTCATAGTTCAGTTCGATTAGCTCAGACCGTCAACACACGTAAAAAGTCTGATGACGAACTAACCGAAACGAAATATTTTTAAATAAAATAAAGTTGGTTATCAGCGAATAATTATTTTAAAAAGTTTTTATATCTTGCATCCCATGCTGATAAATGTTTTAAAAATTAATTTATTATAATATATTTTATATTTGTTTGATTTATATTTTATAAATAGTTTTATGAAATTAAATTCTATAAATTAATTTTGTTACTTTACATTTTAGTATACTATAATTTGATGGTCTACACAGGAGGCAAAGTTTTTACCTCCCGTCGCCGATATCTATAAAAAATTCTAAAACGTTTGTTTTAAATTATTAAGCAATTTATTTATTACTTAAGTGCGAAAATTAAGTGCGAATATATAAATATTTTACATCAAATTTGCGTTAAACACGTTTTTGAGTGGTTGCGATCTTTCTATTGGTGGTCACCTCTAAATCATAATTTCTTCTGAAAAAAGTTCTATGGCACCGACCAATTAGGAGCAAAAATTAATTGAAGGTAAAACCAAAGTTTTCTGCAGTTAAAAGTTTATGAGAGCAAACGGCTGAAAAAAGCGTAAAAAAAGTGGAGACAATTAAAAATTAGTTAGACCTGCTTTAAATTCCAAATTTGAGTCTTTCTTCTATAGTCGTAAACCTGCACCTCTTTTTCTTTTCTATAAATATTATTATAGTCGCTGCTCAAAGGAACTATGATCTCCAGCTCCACTAACCTAAACTCATTCTCTATTGAATTGGTATTCAGCAAAGTTGCATTATTTTATTGCACGTGTCCCTCTAAATTTTACTCTTTTAGTTTTTTTCCGTGTACGTCAACCCTTTGGAACTCTCTCCTAATTTTAAATTGCATTTATTATAAACTAAACCTTTTTGGAGCCCTTTCGGGGCCTCAAAAAAAAAAAGTTAACCACCCAGGGTAAGTCGGTGCAAACTATAAAAATTACTATATAATGTATTATTGAGAGCGAAAAGTATAAAACATTAGTTACTATTTATTTTTGCAACAATTTAAGCCAAAAATTGAAAATTACTTGAGGCTGGTAGCAAATAATAGTTTCTATAATAAGTTAAAAGAGCAGCCTACTTTTTTTACAAATAAATAACATCCTCTAAAAAATTTTTTTCGATGTAAAAAATTAAACTTTTTTTTTCTAATCATAATACTCCTTTAACCAAACCTGCATATTTAACAAGTTTTTTTTTTTTTTTTTAATCAAAGTTCGAATAAAAGAAACTAAATCATCTTTTTCAAAAACGGACCATTTTTAAAAAATGGTCCGTTTTTGAATATGATTTCATTTTTAGAATACCATTATATATTTATATACCATTATATCATTACCAAAAAAATACCATTATATCATTACCAAAAAAAACAACAAAGTTCTCACGATTCTCTATTTCCTACCGGGGTCCGTACCTATATAACAAAATAATATCCGAAAATATAGAACTTAAAACATTAAATAATTCTGCCACCTTGAAAAAAAAATTAAAACACCTCATACTTAATATCAAAAATTTTATTGACATGTATTAAACTTAACAACAAGATTTATACTAAAATGTTTATGTGTATCACTGACTGTGTATTGTTTAACCACTTTTTAACTATATATAAAAAATTTTAGAATATCGCGTTCAAGCTTTTTCCAATGTTGCTAATTAAGTAAATTTAGAAACTTGATTTTTTTATTTTTTTGCCTAAGCGAAAACAGAAAATTATTCAAATTTTGTAAACCCGGTATGCAATTTTGTAAACCCGGTATGCAATTTTGTAAACCCGGTATGCAATTTTATAAACTCGGTATGCAATTGAGATGAATTTTTAGATTTCTTTTTAGAAAAAACTACAATAATTTCTTTGAGTTTCCTTAGAATTCCTTTATCATTGAGGATACCATAAATTTGTTTCCTTTTGAATATATTGATATTTTACCTTTGTGTTATAAATAAATAGTGTCTTCTAAAGTTTCAAGTGCCGCTATTTTAAAAATATTTATTATTTTTACTTTTTCTAGTTTTTGTTTATAAGAATATGATCTAGTAGTGTTGTAAGTTTCAACTGTCGTAAAAAGTGTCGTAATTGTCGTAAAAAAGCTGAGAAAATATCGTATTCTTTTTCATTGATTTTTTTGCATTTACTGATAAATCAGCAACGAAAAAGAAGAAAATTGATTTATATTTTTATACTTTTAATTATATTAAACAACATTTTTCGTTACAGTTCTGGTATATGAATATTTTTTGATTAACAATCAAAAAATATTTTTATACATGATAGCCACCTTTATTTATCGCATTCTTTCTGTTTTTGATAAGTTAAATACAATTATATTAAAAAACTTTCTGTTTTAATAATTTTATATTATATATATTTTAATTGATAGATTTCTGAAAATTTCTTTCTTTTAACGAATATTTCTACCAAAAATCCCCCTATCTAATATCCAGACCTCACCACTGGTTGCGCGCATACATATTTATATACTAATGTAAAGTCAATTTATTATTAAAGTGCTTTTACTTTTAATAATAGAATTATTCTAAAAGTAATCTCACAACATAACGGTACGCTTTTTAAAAACATTATATTAAGAAATAATCTCACAACATAGCAATATACTTTTTGAAACCATCATGATTAAAAATAATCTCATAGCATAACAATACACTTTTTGAAATCATCGTGATTAAGGAAAAGTCTATCAGTGATGGATCAATCAATACTAAAGTAAGTTTATATAATACTTTTTTAATAAGCTACCTTTTCTGAAAATAAAACGTCCGTAAGACGTTTAGTGAAAAGGTGGTATTTATCTATAAAATTCTGTAGCAATTCTTTTTTTAGATTCCTGTTTTTATTTGCTTTAAATAAAAATGATGTCGAGTTATATATTACAAGATTACCATGTATTTTCTATGCAAGTTTTACATTGACACCAAATAAATATATCGAAGGAAACATTACTGCAACCTTTATTGTCAGTAGCATTAATGATTGTGGCACTTATTGTGTTAGAAGTCCTACATGCGAGTTCGCTAATTTTAATGCCAATGAAAAGATATGTCAGATAATATCTTCAAGTGGAAACCTAACCAAAAGTATAACTAATCAGCAATGGCAAGTTTTGTTGACTGATAGAAGCAGTAACGAAAACGTATGTTCATTTTTTCTATGTATATATATATTTGGGTGGGTCATAATTTTTTTTTTTTTTTGTTACAGGCTCTAAACATTGCGATTAGTTAGTAATAGTGATACTATCAAATATGAGAATGATTGTGATAGATTTAAAGGGCGCAACTTTATTGGGAAAATTACCCGTACCCTAATATTTTGGAGAAAAAAAGTTTTTCAAAAGTAGGTCAACCTGGTCTTCAAAAGAAGCAAAGTTTTATAAAAAATTCAATAATAATTATCGCTTTATAAAAATCATGTTGCCGAAAAAAATTGTCATTAAAAAACATGAAAAAATGCACTTTTTTACTTTTAGTTAAAAAACCATAGTTATTATGCAATAAAATCTAAAATTATAATTTTTATATGAAAAAATTATAATTTTTGAAATTTTTATTATATTTTGCTTTATTTGACTACCTAGATCATATAATTTTGAAAAACTTTTTCTTTGAATAATAATAGGGCCTGCTAGTTTTTGTAATTTAAGTTGCGGGTGGAAGACTTGGTTCAATCCATAAAAGTAAATACTTTCCTAAATTAGTACGTAAAAAAACAACTTTCTAGACCATAGCCAGGTTCGCAAATCTAAAAAAAAATTCTATGACCCACCCTAATATTTATATATATATATATATATATATATATATATATATATATATATATATATATATATATATATATATATATATATATATATATATATATATATATATTTATATATATGTGTGTGTGTGTGTGTGTGCGCGCGTGTTTATTAACTATTTTCTCTTACTCTTACTCAATCAATTTACAACTTTGTTTTTATTTTTAACATTATAATTCTCAATTCTTACAGTTAAAACATGTTTAAAATAACATAAGCTTAGAAAAAGAAGATAATATTTTCCAAATTTTTTATAATGCTTTTTTTTTATTGTTTTTATTGCTTGAAGGTTAAAAGTTTTGGCAGGGGTACGTTATTACCAACATTTTAGAGACGCACACGCAAATGAATTGCCCAGATTACTCTGTACAGATTACTCTGTAGAGCATTTAACAGGAAGTTCACGCCTCCTTCCGTACCAATGTCGCTTGTTGGGCTAGAGCTGGCGTCGAACCTAGGACCTCTGAGTTCTGAGCCAGCACTCTAACCACTGCGCCACGGCTGCTCAATTGCACGGCTGCTGAATATTAACAGTATATTTATTTATTAAATATATATATATATATATATATATATATATATATATATATATATATATATATATATATATATATATATATATACATATATATATATATATATATATATATATATATATATATATATATATATATATATATATATATATATATGTATATATATATATATGTATATATATATATATATATATATATATATATATATATATATATATATATATATATATATATATATATATATATATATATATATATATATACTTTTCATTCTGTTAAATTTTATGCTATTTCAAACATTGAAGAACAAAATCCATAATCAATTTTTACTACTATGTGCTTTAAAAGTAACAAAAAGTACAGTTATTGTGGTCAATGCACTTTCCTATTCCATAGCAACGCCATAGCAACGGTGTAAACAACAATTTCATTAACTACTTCTTAAAGATTTTCACTAGAAATTTTGAAGTATTTCTTTGTGTTAGATCTATTATGCTTTTCTACTGTTCTGCAAAGTATATCGTTTTTAAAAAATGTGCTTTGTTTCATTATTCTGATGTATTTTAACTAAAACTGTCTGTCTGAATTTAACTGAAAGCTATCTAAATCTAAATATGGCAAACAAAAGAAATAAAGTTAGAAGTTTAAAGAGAAAATGTCAAGGAAATAGATATTCAAGGAAAGAAAAGGATGTAGTTGATTGTAGCAGGAAATCAGAAACAACAAGTGCATCAAAGCTTAAGAATAAACATAACTTTAATGGTGCAACGAATTGTGATTCTGAAGTCGACAATTTTTTTTTTTATATGTTACTTTAGAATTATTAAAAATATATTTGAACTGTATTCTACATGCAGTGAGTGTAATAGCAAGTTAACTTTTTTGCATAATAAATCTGTACGTATGGGATTTTCTATTGGAATTATAATACAATGTTCAAACTGTGGCTTTGAAAGTACATTTTATTCATCTCCAACTATAAATCAAAGTTCAAAACCTGGTTCAAACCCATATGAAATAAATTTACGAGCTGTTATAGCATTTCGTGAAATTGGACGTGGTAATGAAGCTATGTCTACTTTTACTGCTATAATGAATATGCCTCCACCGCTTACGAATCACAGTTATAATCTTGCAAACAATAAATTACATAAAATTTATAAGGAAATTAGTTTACAGAGTATGAAAGCTGCTGTATCAGAACTAAGAGAAATTTTAAATGCAAATGCTTCTGATGATGAAATTATTGACTGTGGCATATCAATAGACGGAACATGGCAACGTCGTGGATATTCTTCCCTAAATGGTGTTGTTGCTGGTCTTTCACATGAAAATAAAAAGGTGATTGATGTTTTTTCTTTATCTAAGTTTTGTATGCAGTGTGAAGTACATAAAAGAATAAACAATCCAATTGATTTTGAATGTTGGAAAGCTACACATAATTGCCAGGTTAATCATTTTAGCTCAGCAGGGCCAATGAAAGCTGCTGGAGCTCAAGAAATATTTCATTCGTCTATACAAAAGTATAATTTAAGATATACTAAATACCTTGGAGACGGTGACTCAAGTTCATTTTCTAATGTTGTTAAAAGTAAACCATATGGTGATTGTATTATTGAAAAACTAGAGTATATTGGCCATTATCAGAAAAGAGTAGGCTCTCGTTTGCGTCAAAAAATTAAAGACTTTAAAAGCAGGTTGTTAAGTGACGGCCTAAAAATATCGGGAAAAGGAAGATTAACCAATAAATCTATTAACACAATGCAGAACTTTGTTGGAATGGCTATAAGACAAAATAAAAATGATCTACTGTGTATGAGAAATTCTGTAATAGCTGTACTTTACCATTGTACAAATTTTCCTTATGAAGTTACTCGTCATCAATTTTGTTTAAAAGGGAAAAACAGCTGGTACAAATGGCAATCAGATAAAGTTACAGGTAAAACAAGTTATAGACAAAAAATTAACTTACCTGTTACAATTATGGAGGAAATTACACCTATTTTTCAAGAACTGTCAAACCCTGAAATGCTAAGAAAGTGTTTACATGGAATGACACAAAACTGCAATGAGTCATTTAATGGTTTCATATGGCAGAGATGCCCTAAAGCTACTTTTACTGCAAGAAAAATTCTTGAAATAGCTGTTTATTCTGCTATTTTAAATTACAATGATGGATTTACTTCTTTAAGGTATATTTTTAAAATGCTTGGGTTTACTGGAGGTATTTATTTCGAAAAAGGAGCTTTCAAAAAAGATAAAAAGCGACTATCAAGTATGTCAAGAAAATCGACTGACATGAATAAAAAACGAAGAAAACATTTAAGATCTATAAAAAAAGGTTATTTAGACATTGAGAAAGAGAATGAAGATGTAAACTTTTATGCTAGTGGCAGTTTTTAGTAACTTTTCACAAAAACACTTTTCTTTTTTACATTGTTTTATTTTTAAATGTGTTTTTTAGGACTTTCTTATTTTTATACGGTTTTCTTACAAAAACATTAATATCTTCAGTTTGGTTAAAGCTTTTATCTTCAAATTTTCACAGTATGTGTATTAACTTATTTATGAGGGCTGGAACTAAAATTGTAATATTTCAAGTATAAATAAATTATTTTCAATATAGTTTGTTAGACTGACACTGGCGATTAATTAGTTTTTGCACATTTATTGCTGCCATTTTAGTTTTTTTCCACATTTGGAAAAAATTTTAGTTCCAGCCCTAAAGCAATTATTTAGCTACCATTTGGCAAAATATAGTGTAATAAGTGCAAATTTTACTCAAGATATCATTGTTTTAGATAAGGTAAGATTTTGGACAAATTATGCTGACTCAGCATCAAAAAATGCAAATTTCATTTTTATTTTGAAAAGTTAAAGTTTTAATGTAATTTCCTCATATAAAAAATTAAAAACAAGTTTAGAACCTATATAAACAAAAAGTTAGATTTAATGGGGGTGAGCCACCTTAAAACAGAGTGAAACATTAGATTAGCCAAGAACAAACATGGGTAATATTTTTCTGGCAGTATTCTTGCTGCCAGGGCTGCTTTAAGTATAAGTATATTTTTTTTAAAAAAAGTAAAAACGTTTTTATTTAATAAAGATTTATGTGTCATGTTTTATTTTAGGTATATTTTAACGATAAATTTACTTTTGACTATGATTTGTGTAAAGGTTTTTTTTCTTAACATAAATCTGTTTTTATTTTAAACATCTGTTTGTTTGTTGTTGCTTTTTTACTTATCTTTCTTTATATAAAAAGCTTTTTTAATAAAAATGTTTAATATTTCTCTGTGGCCACACATACCTCAGTGCATAGTTTAGTTCAAACATCTCAGACCTGCATCAAATATAACAAAAATAGCTAAAACTCATCAACATTTAAAATGTTTTCATGTGCAAAATTTTAAAGCAATAAAAGGAGAATAGTTTTATTTCTGGTGCTTTTAAGAGATGTTTTTTAAAAAAACATCTCTTTCAACAAATAGATTTTCAGAATACCGAACGAGTAAAATTAGAAAATCTCAAGAGATTAAATAAGCCAGAGTTTGACACGAGCTAGGAATTAAGGAAATCAATTCCTAGCTCGTAAAAAAGTAATGTTAATTCTTTAATGTTTTCTTTTTTAACGGTTTGTTTTAAGCTTTTAACGGTTTTTTTATCACCTAATAATGCTGACCACAAATGGTCAGCAAAATATTGCTAATATGTATGTATGTATGTATGTATGTATGTATGTATGTATGTATGTATGTATGTATGTATGTATGTATGTATGTATGTATGAACGTATGTAAGTATGTTTTTTTAGGTAGGGCCAATATGTGAAAATAATACACCTTGCAACAATATGTATTGTCGAGATACATGCCTGGCATTGAATGGAGAGTTAGTCCACAGTTACTTTTGCTCTGGTAAGACTGTGTTTTTTTAAGAGCTTGATTATAATATTAATAAACTAATGTACTAAAAAGATAAATAAATACTTATTATATTACGTTAATCATAGTAAACAAAACTTTGAATTTGTACATACTGAAGAATCTATTAGACTTATGTCATATATACATGAAGAATCTATGAGGAAGTTCACGTCTTCTTCCTAACAAATGTCGCAAAACTTCCCCAGAGGTGGGGTTTTGAACCACAGATTCTTTGTTTCTGAGACAAGTGCACTACTAATGCGCCACGACTGCTTTACATACTTATGATTTTTTTTTTTTTTTTTTGACAAAAAGCAACTTTTTCACATCTTTAAAACATAGAAAAAACAAATATTTCGCGTAACATTCGGGTAATTTTCGGGTAACCGTCCTCAAATGAAAATTTAAATTAGACTTAAAATGCGAAAAATAATTTTTTTTAAGAAATTGAAAAGTAATTAATAAAACTCAAGTTTTATTAAAAAAATAAATATTATATTTGATTTGATAATTGTAAGATTGTAAGTTTTTCTTTTTTTTATTAAGAAAGTTTTAAATTTTATTTTCACCATAACTTCCATATAAAGTTATTAATGATAATTGCAAATTTAATTTGAATTCAAAAAGAAATAACATTCATGAATAATTGTCATTCTTCCTCAGGCAGGTGGCAAAGTATAAATGGTAAACAAACGTACTCGTTATTACATTTTAAACAATTATAAAATATAAAAACAATAATAAAACACAAAAACAATTATAAAATTTAAAAAACAAATAATAAAAATACATATCGTAAAGAAGAAATATAAGATGCAAGAAGTTGTAGAGGAGCGAAGTTGTAGGGGAGCAAAGATGAAGAGGGAAGCGAAGTTGTAGGGGAGTGAAGTTGTAGGAGAGCGAATTTGTAGGGGAGCAAAGTTGTTGGGGAGCGAAGTTAAATATTTAAAATAAATGATATATGTAAATTTTTTTATATATTTTTATTATAAATGTCCGTTATTAGTACAAAATTGTTTTTTAACTAAAAATTATTAAAAAGATATTAATAAATCATTTGTTAAGATTATTTCTTTGAAATTTTGTTTGAAACACTTGTAGTTACATAAATGAATAAAATTTTGAAAAAAATTTTAAAAACGTTTTTGCTCTATTAAAATATCGCAAAAAGTATTTCTAAATAAGTATATAAGATGCACAAATTAAAAACCTAACAACTGTTGCTTTCGAATTCCTTTAAAAATTTTCAACCTGTGGATGATATGCTGTGGTAAAATGATGCTTGACATTAAGCAATGTCATTAATTCCTCGTTCACCTGGTTGGAAAACTCTGTACCCTGATCAGAAGTAAGAATTCTTGGTATACCCATTTGCATAAAAACCTAAAAAATATAAAATTTTTAACATCAAGCAAAAATAAATTCAATATCATTAGAATAATAATATAGTAATTTACTTTAACCAAGGCTGTTGCAACACTACTCCCATGTTTAGACTTTAGTGGAAGTGCTGCTACCCACTTAGTGCAATAATCTGAGATAGTTAAAATATAATTATTTCCAGCAGATGTTTCGGGTAGAGGTCCAATCAAGTCAATGCCAATGTGAAACCATGGTGATTGAACTTTGATAGGATGTAGCTCAGGGTGTGTTTTATCAAACCTTTGTGTATTTGTATGTTGGCACTTTTCACAAAACAAAACCTAAGAAAATTTAAATGCTACATAATACTTAACATAAATTTAACACATGCTTTCCAATTTGTGGTATGCAATAATAAACATATTAAACAAATATAAAGTAAAAAATTATCTTCTGGATTTAAAATATAATGTTTGTTGTGATTTCGAAAAAAATAAAAATATTTTTCTTACTAGACTTCTTCAGACTTAAAATGCTAAAAAGAATACGACTAAGCTGCGATATACTGTTTATGATACAAAATCATACATAAAAAATTTACTTCTGAAATGTCTATTTTTAACAAAAAAAAATCATGGTCTCAAGACACCAGATTTACTTAAAAAATGAACGAAATTCGTCTATAAAAAGTATGTTTTTTAACAGAGCTTGAGGTTTTTACACACAAACTAAATGTAAATAAAATAAAAAATAATTATTCATACAAAGTTTTTTATATCTTGAAAAATTCCATGCCAGTAAAAGCGTTTTGAAACCTTGTAGAAAGTACGTGTTCTTCCAAGGTGACCAGAAATAGGTTCACTATGACATTAACTAATAATTTGCTTTCTCTGCTCTTTGCTAAAAATTATCTCTACCCATAAACCCTTCTTAGTCAAGTATTTCAATTTATTTTACTTAGTATTTCAATTTATTACCTTCCATTCTAAACCTAAAAAAAACTTAAAATATAAGTTTTACAACTTCCAATACATTTTAATAAAAAAAAATTAGAAAAAAAAAGCACAAAAGTTATTTCTTAAAAAACATTTAATTGTTAAACTAGTATTGATACATATAAAAAGTATATACACTATAAAATATGACTATACCTGTTTGCTTTTCTTCGAATAATTCTCTTAGCATTAGCAGAGCAATTATTGGGATAAACCCCTTTATTTATGTAATTACTAACATCAAGAAACTCTTGTTCTCCTTTTTCATCATTTCCTACATCCATTCTATTTTAAGAAACTAAAAATAGTGACAAAGTTAACAATAGTTTTACTTTTCATTGTTTATGCTTAAAATGATGTTAAAAACTTTTAACGTCTTCATTATCTGGTAATTAATATTTAGTATAATTACATATAATAATTATATATAATATTGAATAAGTTATTTAAATGGTAATTTTAATATACATAATATTAATGATGCATAACAATGATGAAAATGAAATAACCAACAGCATCAATTTTATAACAATAAGATAATTTTATAATAATGACAAATCAGTATTCATTATTAAACAACAACTTAATATTTACTTGCACCGAATGACTTGTAAAATGATTCATTATTTATAAGGGCATCAAGAAATACATGAAAGCATAGCAATATTGTCTACTTTATGACACCATGTCCCGACCACACAACTGCATATACAGCATTTGTATTTTTGTTTTAAAGGTAAGTTTTAATTTGTGTGGTTTCAAATAAATGGTACAAAAGCCTTACTATAGAAAAATTATACACTATTTTTGACAGCACTTTGTTGAAAGTAGTTCAAAGCTAATACCGAGGCTATTATTATTTTGATTTAACAAAAGCTAATAATGCTATTAAGAAAATGCAATAAAATAATAGCACAAAATAAGATATTACCTAATAGTTGAACTTGTTCTGTAATTTTAACTGTAAATAAAACTATTCCTACCTTAATTCAGTTGAATTCAACTTTTCCCTAACTGTTGGTTAATGATTAATAAAGTAAACTTAAATTCATGAAAGTTTACTATTTTAAAACCATATTTCAACAGTAGGCAAACTAAAATAAAATAATAACAAAATTAGAACTAGTGAAATAAAAAAAAAAAAGGATTTACTTTTTTAATAACTAAATAATATATAAAGTACAACAAAATTAAAACTTTTCTTTGAAAACTATAACAGGTTCTTGTTAACAAAATCTTCACACTTTGATGGTATGTGCCCACACATACTGTATGGGTACCAGATGCTCCTATTGTAAAACACTATTTTGGACAATATGAGCAAAAGTTAGAAAAACAAGTCTTTATACCAGGATAACTAGTTTTAAACTTAGCATACAGTTCTTTTAGATTTGAGAGAATCAAATGCTTTTGCATATGAGATCTTTGAGCTATACTCACAATATCTTTTTTACCAGATATTTGCTAGCTATTTTCATCATTAAAATAAAATCCAATAAATTTATCAACAGTCTGTTGAGATATTTCTTTTCTTTTTTTTTTTCAGTGAAAGGTTGATTTTTTTCAAATATTAATTGCCTATTGAGCAACTAATAGAAATTTCATTATTAGAAATTCCCAAATAATTTGAAATCCTTTAATTTTTTTTTCTATGAATGGGTCTGTCTCGAATAGACACTGATTTTAACGGAGAACAACCCAACATCCTGAAAGTTTTATTTGCAATTTCAGAACTAGTCGGTTATATTGCTTTTATCATTGATTCAATATTTATGTTTTCAATAGTTTTATTATTCTTACAACAAGTTCTACAGAGTTTTTGACCCGGGCATAACTTCATTCTTAAAGTAGTTTCTTCATTGATTGACTGAAGAGATTCTAAAAAAAAAAAAAAAAAAAAAAAAAAAAAAAATTTTTCATTAACATAAAGCAATGAAAAAAAAAATAACTAAATAATTTTAAACTTTAAAAATTACCCTGCATACTCTCCCTATTATTTTTTTTTACTATTATTATTATTATCATTATTATTTATTAATAAATATTTAATTATTACTTATTAATAAAAAAAGTTATTAATAAAGATAATGTATTTACGTGTACAAAAAATTTGCAAGTAATAAGATCACAAAAATTTTAGGAAATCCTTTTTGATAAAAAAGGTTTCCTAAAATTTTTGTTATCTGTAATTATATTTTATAAAGATTATACAAAAAAATTTTATATATAATCTTTTTTACAAATATAATTAGAATTTAATTCCACTTACTAGTAAGGATTAAATGCAAAAATGATTTCCTATATGTTTCTATAAAAGCAATCATTTAGGAACTCATAATAATAACAGTAAGACTTAAGATATGACAACTCACATGACTTAAGATATTTTAGTAAATTCTATGTACAGAGTATATATATATATATACTATAAGAAAGCAGATTTAACTAAAATTTACTTAGTCACTCAGTAAATTGCTGTTATCATAAGTACTGTTATTTATACTTTGTATATATACTAAGTGTATAAAAGTAGAATTAAAATAAATATAATTAGGATTATATATAAAAAGACTTTCCTAAATACTTCTATCAACGCATATATTTAAGAACTTATAAAACAATAATTCTAAAAAT